TGCTTCGTCTCGCCGCAACTCTCTCCATTTGATTAGTATCCCCTCGCCGAAACGAGGCCTGTGAGGCGCCCGCTTGCTGGCTGGCTTCCCTGTACTCGCTGCTTGCTCCTGCCTGTTGGGTTAACCCGTTTCCATCGAATTTGGGTAAGCGAAACATCGCCTCATATGGGCATTTGGGGTTCTGGCAGCCTTAGGCTCGCCATCCGTCGCCGAGCTTCCAAGTGACCGGCGCTTGTTGGTATATTTGCTTGCTTGTTCCTGTTTGGTGGCTGCGCTAAATCTTTTGTGCTGCATTGAATTTATGCCACCCATATACAGCAAATTGCTGAGCTGAAATAATTCGGCTAATTAGGTCCAGCAATATGACATCTCGTGGATTGAATGCTAAGCTGACATTGTATCACTGATGCTGGCTTATATATAGGTTGTTGAGAAGTGAAGATGTCGACAGGTGAAACCCTGCGTGCAGAGCTATCATCCAGGACGCCGCCTTTCGGTTTGAGGCTATGGATTGTGATTGGAATCAGTATTTGGGTGGTGATCTTCTTTATACTAGGTTTCATGTGCCTCTGGTCCATATACCGAAGGAAGCCGAAGAAGTCCTTTGATAAGATTCCAGTATCTCAAATCCCGGATGTTTCCAAGGAGATTGCAGTAGATGAAGTTCGTGAGCATGCTGTTGTCGAAAACTTCCGTGTGCAAGAAAGCCACGCGATATCGGTGCAGGAGAAACATTACGAGAAAGATTCAGGGAAAATGCTGGCACACTTGGTTAGGAGTAAATCGAGTGATGCCGATAATTTGAGCCAATGCAGCTCGGTGTACCAATGTGATAGGGCTGGTAGCTCGTATTCTGGTGATGAAGGCAGCTCGGGCAATGCTAGGAGGCACTTTTCTCAATATGCAACTGTCTCAGCATCCCCTCTGGTTGGTCTCCCAGAATTCTCTCATCTGGGCTGGGGTCATTGGTTTACTCTGAGAGATTTGGAGCATGCAACAAATCGGTTTTCCAAGGAGAATGTCATTGGAGAGGGTGGATATGGGGTAGTTTACCGTGGTCGACTCATAAATGGAACTGACGTCGCAATAAAGAAGCTTCTTAATAATATGTAAGAGATCCTGAAATCTATTCTGCGTTTTACAGAACTTGTGACTCCTTCTGATGCCATCATATTAATTTTCTTTTGATATGGTGCTGCAGGGGCCAGGCAGAAAAGGAGTTCAGGGTTGAAGTTGAGGCTATTGGCCACGTCAGGCATAAGAATCTTGTCCGCCTTCTAGGATATTGTGTTGAGGGAATCCACAGGTAAAGCTATTTATCAATCACCTTTGCTGATGGATGGCTAGCTTTTGTTTCTACTGGCACATTATTTACTTGCATAGGGATGTAGGATTGCTCTTGGTCTATGTCCACCTACTCACCAGATTATCTCAAGGGATAGGTTATTCCTGACTGCACTCCTTATGCTATCGATTTTTTCCCTTCCAAATCTGATGGTGGGATTCAGCATGCCCAGTGACAGATTATGCTCAGTCCACAGAAACCTTCTTTGGACCACCATTCTTTTACCATGAAAATGTGGCCATAGCTCTGAAAGCTAGGATTCACTAGAAGCGCACAACTGCTTATTGGTTTGTTAGTTGGCTATAACAAGGTCTTACTGAAATGTACTTCCATAGTTCATTACTTTGTGAATGCCTGTTCTTGTTCTTCACGTTTCTTCTCATGCATGTTCAATTCTAAATTTGTATTCATGATATGTCCAAGCTACTGTATTCTCCAAAGAAAATCAGAAGTCCATTCACCTATGTATTTTCCAGTTTTCCGCCATTTTGGATACTGCTCTAGAAACAAGTTAATAATATAGATATTTATATGGTTTGGCCAGTGCTGCTTAAGTGACCATCGAGATAGAAATTGCTTAAGAAATATACTAAGATGTTGAGTGTCAGGTGTTTTCGGATAATCTAGTTACCAACAAATAGGTCCTATGAATATAATGGTGTCTGCTTCACGTAATTCAAAATCCACACTCAGCCAAAATAATCTGCAATAGGGTGTTGAAAATATGATTATGTTTCTCCCTTGTTTTCATCATGACTACAGAAATGAACAATGTTGCTACATCTTGTAATAATTTGTGGTTTTCAATTGAACAAAACATCCATCAAATGATATCTACAGCAATATATTTTGCACTTCTGAGCACACAATAGGTTTGAGTGTATTCGAGTCATGGTCATTGATTTAAGCTTTTTATTTCACTACATAACCATTGATTTGAGTGTATCTAAGGAGTTCTGTTTCCACAAGTACTTTATGTTAATGGTGTCTCCTTATGCTTTGGCCATCCAAACTCATTACTGTTGTTTAATATTTTTAGTGGTTAGTGGTGTCCAAATCTTTCTTTGTGTACATCATACTATGTTTTTGTAGTCTATTAAACTTCCATCCTATCATCTGACTTGTTATATTCCAGGATGCTTGTATACGAATATGTGAATAACGGGAACTTAGAACAGTGGCTTCATGGTGCCATGCGCCAACATGGTGTTCTTACCTGGGAAGCCCGAATGAAAGTTGTTCTTGGAATTGCTAAAGCGTAAGAAACAAACCATCGTCCCCGTCAAAAAGAAAAGAATTGTTCTTCACTTTAGCTCTTTTATATGTATATGTTTAGTTGCATAACCCATTTTCCATAACTGAATTGGTATACAGGCTTGCTTATTTACATGAAGCAATAGAGCCAAAAGTTGTACACCGGGATATCAAATCAAGCAACATACTAATCGATGAAGAATTCAATGGCAAACTTTCTGATTTTGGCTTGGCTAAGATGCTGGGTGCAGGGAAGAGCCATATCACAACTCGAGTTATGGGAACTTTTGGGTATGTTGATATTTTTTTGGAGTTAGTATTAATCTTTCCTATGCTTAGCTTTTACTGTTGGAATGTGCAGTACTTCGCTTATTCATACAATATAAAATTTTACATGCTGCGAACTTTGTCCTTCGTATATTATAACAGGTAGCTTTCTCATTGCTATCATTGATTCATTTCAGGTATGTGGCCCCTGAGTATGCCAACACAGGTCTGTTAAACGAGAAGAGTGATGTCTACAGTTTTGGTGTGCTATTACTGGAAGCAGTGACTGGTAGAGATCCAGTTGATTATGGCCGGCCTGCTAATGAGGTGAGCATATATCCTACAATCTCATGCGTATTATGTATGTTACAAAAGTCCGTACTATTGGAAATTATTTTACGGCAAAATAACGTCTATACTAGGAGAGACGAATTTGCTTCAGGTGTATGGCTGTCTGGCAGTTGTCTACTGTCTAGTTACCCTTGTCTCACTTTTACAGTCTATTGTTTTATTTTTCAGGAGCTGACTAGCTGTATACCTTGTCATATATAACAACATTGTAACGTGGATGCCTTGCAGGTGCATCTAGTGGAGTGGCTCAAAATGATGGTTGGCACAAGAAGATCTGAAGAGGTAGTTGACCCTGACATGGAGGTCAAACCGACCATTCGGGCTCTTAAGCGTGCTCTCCTAGTGGCACTGAGGTGCGTCGACCCAGACTCTGAGAAAAGACCTACTATGGGTCATGTTGTTCGGATGCTCGAGGCAGAAGATGTCCCATCCCGTGAGGTGGTAACGCTTTCTCCTTTCCTGCAATAACATTCATCATATTATATCATTGCAATAAATCTGAAGCTTTTGCTGTAATCCTACTGAAGGACCGGAGGAGCCGGAGGGGCAACACTGCCAATGCAGATACCGAGTCCAAGACAAGCTCAAGCGAATTCGAGATAAGTGGCGATAGAAGGGACTCAGGGCCATCAGCAAGGTTTCAACCCTAAGAAGACGGTGATCATAGTCAAGAACAATGGCTTCAAAACTCTATGCAGTAACATGGTGGTTGGCAGAGAAAAAGGGGTATTTCTGGAGGGCATTGCATTTTGTATTGTAGGTCTGCATGGCGGTAGAGACTGGAGAGAGCACAGTGTCTGATGATGGATACCCGGAGACCTGTAATTCCCATTCAGTATTCTGTTTGCTAGTCAAGCAGCTTGTACAGATCGTTGTCTGTTCCATTTTTTCATTCTTCTGGTTTTTTTGTTTAGGAGGCTCTTGGATTACCAGTACGAACCGCTGTCTCTTTTCTAGAATCACCAACATGGAACCTATCAATATTTACTACTAGTACTACGACTTGCTTTCTTCTTGCTGAGATCTATCATGTACTGTACATAACTGACGTGTTCAGCTGCACTTGGACAAGTAGATGCTCGTTCTGTATGTCGAATTTACTTGATGAGGTCGAGCATTAAGTACCATGGCTGCAGCCGGCTTCTGTTTAGTTGTGCTGACATGCGGCGGCGACCTCACGCTGTGTGGCCCATTCTTGATCTTGGGCCGAAACTGTAGCAACGGGCGTACGGCCCATCTATATCGGGATTGTTCGGCCCGTTGTAGATGGGCCGGATCGGGATTGCGACTTACGTGCGACCCATTTCGGTTGGGCCGGTGGTCCGCTACTTCATCTAGCAGTGGTCGGCGGCAGGGTTCACAATTCCAATAGAATCCAAACATTATTGGATTGAGTTAAAAACACAAACCAATCGGCTTTTTGTCAGGTTCAGAAAATTTTAAACTGAATTTTAATTTTTTGACAAAAATCTATTTAGATTTCGTCTGTGTTTTTAGGTTTGTCAACGGATTCAGCGAAATCCGATGATATCGCTCGTGAGTGGATTTTTGATCCGGTATCGAGATTGTGAACCCTTGTCGCGCATTGCCTGACAAAGACAACCAGTGAAGCGCCGTGCGCGCCGCGTGCGCGCCGCGTGACGCGAAGATGCGCAGGAAGGAACAAGCTGGCAAGCGGCGCGCCCATGACGGCGGCGGCGACGACGACCCGCGCGCGTGCGTGCGTCAACGCACGCGACCGGCCGAGATCCGTCGGTGGCCGCGGCTATATATAATACATCGTCGCCTCACACCCCCCACACACCGAGTCATCGCTCGCCGGAGTTAGAGTTCGTAGCGGCGAAGGATATAGCCATATATTATAGATGGCGATTGGTGTTGGTGGCTGCTGCGCCGTGCTGCTCGCGGCGGCGCTGCTCTTCTCCTCTCCGGCCACCACATGTAAGCACGCCCATCTTCTTCTTCTTCTTTTTTTCTTTCTTTGTTTTTTTTTGGAAATGAGCCGCAGCTGACAAAAAGATCACTCACACATGGATACACTGTCGTGACACTAACCAATGCCTAAGCCATTTTGTTTTCTTGTTTTGGATTTTTCTTTTTATGTGTATCACTTTTGCTTGTTGCTCTTGCAGATGCTTATGATTCCCTGGATCCAAACGGCAACATCACGATAAAATGGGATGTGATGCAATGGACTCCTGATGGCTATGCTGTAAGTAGCGGTGGCAGTACACCAACATCTCTACCTTTATTTTCGTCTCAACCTGTACATTTACACTATCTTGTTCTACTACCTCTAATAAAAAAATATATTTGATGTTTTAAAATCTATTAAGTTCTAGAGATTAGGAAAGCTACACATGGTTTTATGTTTTGATACTATTAAGTAGTATATTTTATAAGTTATATTGAAGGCTGGGGTTTCAAAAGTTTGACTACACTAGATCTTATTCAAAGCGTCTAATGATTACTGAACGGAGGAAGTATGAACTTATAGACTTGAAGTTAAACAGCATAGCCACATCTCTTCATGTATACTTCATCCGTTTCATCTTATAAGATTTTCTAGCATTATCCACATTCATATATATGTTAATGAATCTAGACATATATGTACGTCTAGATTTATTAATATCTATATGAATTGGGCAATGCTATAAAATCTTATAACCTGAAAAACGGAGGGAGTATGTCGCAAACAACAACAACAATAACAACGAGCAAAATCTATATCGAATCCGGTTTCCCTCTTGTAACTGTATCAAAGATCTGTCCTCTGAAACGTCCCCTGTTCATCAGGCCGTTGTCACACTGTCCAACTACCAGCAATTCCGGCACATCCAGCCACCGGGGTGGCAGCTGGGGTGGACATGGCAGCAGAAGGAGGTGATCTGGTCCATGTACGGCGCGCAGGCCATCGAGCAGGGCGACTGCTCCATGTCCAAGGAGGGCAGCAATGTCCCCCACAGCTGCAAGAAGCATCCCACCGTCGTCGACCTCCTCCCGGGCGCCCCAATCGACCTGCAGATCGCCAACTGCTGCAAGGCTGGATCACTGAGCGCATTCAGCCAGGACCCGGCAAATTCTGCCGCGTCGTTTCAGATCATTGTAGGCCATTCTGGGAACAGCAATGAGACTGTTAGGGTGCCGAAGAACTTCAGTCTTATGGCGCCTGGTCCGGGGTATACCTGTAGCCGTGCTATGATTGTGAAGCCTAGTAGGTTTTTAAGTCCGGATGGGAGGAGGGCGACTCAAGTTCTGAGTAAGTAGTCCATCTGTTGTTCTTTTTCTGAATTGCTGCTTGATGCCCAATTGCTTGTATGTCATGTGGAAATGCATTAGGAACATAGACTCAGTTGTGATTTCTTAATGCTAAGTTGGATTAGGCATAGGTTTAGTGAGGAAGGGACAGGAGTTGGTCACCTAAGACTGGTTGATCTGATATTAGTTGAAAACAAGTTACAGCATGCTAGGCTTTACAAGGCTGAGCCTACTTAACAAATGTTGTCATCTTTTTTTTAATCAATTTTGTTATCTAGCAACTAATACATGTCAAATTCAGACAGACATCCCCATGATTACATATAGGACTTGTTGTTTGTTTTGAGTTCTATAGTAGAAAAAATTCCTATATTCAGTACTACTAGTAGTACTTCTTAACAAAAAGGAAATCTCTATTCACAGTGACATGGAATGTGATCTGCACATACTCCCAATTTCTTGCACAAAAGGTTCCATCCTGCTGTGTTTCTCTCTCGTCGTTCGACAATGACAAAACTGTTGACTGCCCAACATGCTCTTGTGGCTGCCGAAATGAAAAATCTACTACAGGAAAATGTGTAAAGTGAGTTAATATAACTGTTACTGATCTTAACTACAATTTCCACTGGGATCCTAGCTTCTTGTTTTCACCAAAAAATTGTAACAATTTCCTTTGCATTTGACAGGAAGAATGCACCTGATTTGCAATCCATCATTCACGGCCCTGGCAGATGGACCTGGCAGCCTCTTCTCCAGTGCACTTCACACATGTGCCCAGTGAAAATTAACTGGCACTTGATGCTCAAAGACAAGGAACACTACAGAGTGAAAATCACTGTCACTAACTTGAACTACCGCATGAATTTCACCGAATGGAACCTGGTTGTTCAGTATCATCCCATCCTCGATATCACCCAGATATCTGGCTTCAATTACAAGTCAATCCAAGTCGGCAAAATAAGTAAGTCAATCTGGAACCATCCTTTTTTGATAAAAAAAAATGCATGTGTATGTGTGTGTATATATACTTCTGACCTATGTCTAGATTCGTAGCCAAAATTTATTTTTTTTAAGGACAGAAGGTGTATATACCATCTCTCTATCTTTTGCTCACGAAGTTTTTTTTTTCTCCTTGTATGTTAGATGATACTACGATGCTATGGGGAGTAAAGCCCTACTATGATTTGCTCATGCAAGCTGGTCCGCTTGGAAATGTGCAAGGAGAACTGATTGTGAGAAAGGATTTCAGGGCTTCTTCCACTACTAACAATAACAAGGGAAGGGCCTTCCCAGTCCGTGTGTACTTCAACGGTGATAACTGTGTGATGCCGCCTCCGGATGCATATCCAGTTAGTATTACGGCTTAGAGGCGATCGTCAAGATGATTGTATCGCATTACTATATTTATGGGGTCATGAATAAAGTGTATTGTCTTGCCTATTGAAGATTAGAAGTAACTATAATTAAATTGAATCTCCAACTAGTATTAAGATTGTCAGAGGTCTGTTATTTTGCTTGTAGATAAAATTCTGCCTATGTTAACTTCGATGGTGTCAAAGATATCAAATCCATAGCAGATTCGTGGCAGGGGCCAAAAAAAAAAAAAGGAAACGACAGTGTAAGACCGACAGAATATGTAACTCGAAAATTAGAGAAACAACCTAACTAATCCCTCTGTTTTTTTAATGTTTACCGCCGTTGATTTTGAAGACATTCGTCTCTAATTTTAAACAAACAACATGATTCATATTTTTCCATGCTTGAAGTTTTTTTGAATAAAGCGAAGGACATAAAAAGAAACCCCGAAGGAGTACAGCGGAAAGTACAGTTTAGCAAATTGATTTTGCAAATTCATGCAAGAACAAATGTTTTTGCTTTGAAGTCTGAACCAAGCTTCATGGGAGTGGGACTGATGCTGCTACTCTGAACTCTAAGCATTCAGGGATCAGTTTTTCAGAGGACAAAATGTACTACCATCCATAATACCCATAAGATGAAAAACATACAGTGGCTTGAAATAAATACACACAAAATGAAAAACCCGCAAAAAAATAATGTAGGTCATGGACTTATGGTTCGCCTTTAACTGTTGGTTTTGTTGGTCAGTTGCAGCTCGAAGCAAGCCCCAGCTTGAAGCTCAGTATTCAGCAACCTCACCACCTTCCAAATGTATCAGATCAAACAATGATTTCTGAAAAGAAAAAAAAATCAATATGCTTGGTCGTCGGTCTCCAAAAAAAAAAAAATATCTGCTTGGTCAGGCCTGTCCTGCACGGCGAAAATTTGGCATTGAAGCATGTGACTGAAGATTTGGCAGCTAACACATGAACCTTCTTTGGTTTTTATTTGGGACAATTTATACTACTTTCTCCGTTTCACAATGTAAGTCGTCTAGCATTTCCCACATTCATATTGATGTTAATGAATATAGACAATATCTATCTAGATTCATTAATATTAATATGAATGTGAGAAATGGTAGAACGACTTATATTGTGAAACAGAGAGAGTATATAAGTACACTAAGACTTTTTCATATAATACTCCGTTAGCTTCTCTTTAAATATGACGCTGTAGCATTCAGTGGTCAGTACTGTAATGTACTCCCTCCGTACTTATAAAGGAAGTATAAAGGAAGTCGTTTTGGACAGTGACACGGTTTCCAAAACACAACTTTGATTTCTTATTTCTATAAAAATATTTATTGAAAAGTGATATGTGTATACTTTTATGAAAATTATTTTTCAAAACAAATATATTTCATATAATTTTTATATTTTCAAACTCAACAACATAAGAGTTATTTATGATTTATATTCTCAATGTTTGACTTAAACATTATCCTAAACGATCTCCTTTACGAGTACAAAGGAGTACAGAGGAAGTACATGATAATTAAACGAAGCAGAAGGCTAAACATTTTCTTGCTTCGAAGGTCAGCACTTCCATCGTTGATCACACAACGAAACTAATAAAGGATTCCTTTTCATTAGTATTTATATTAAAAAAGTTACTGCTACCGTTCAAGTTTTAGACTTGGCTCAATGCTCACATCTATAACTAATCATTGATTCGGCATACTCATTGACAACGAGTCATTTATAATGATTCTGACAATCCCAACATATGCCGGCCCAATCTCACGAGAGTTTATTGGGATAGGATACGTCTATGTGCATTTGCATAGGTGAATGTGTAGCGTTGTTTTTTTCTAAAAAATATTTCCCAAGGTAAAAAGTTAAAAGAAAAATCAAAAAACGAATTTGCTAGAAAATTTCCACAAGTCTTTTTTGCCTCCAAAACTTTCAGATTTATGACCATCGGATCACCTTGAGATTTATGTATAAAGAAAAAATTTGCTAGAAAGAAATTTTTACACATGTCACGCGTGATATCTCAGTGCTAGCTAACCAAACCATCGTTGAATACAAGTTTCATATAAATTATATCGTAGGTACAATAAAGTTATATTACAATTACAATGCATTTAAAATATAGTTACAATGTAATTACACTCCTATTATACTTCAATGTAATTACATCTTAAATTTATTTTTTACTAGAAAATTTCGGCGCATGTAAATCGAGAAACCTCGTTAGTGCATAATTAATTAAGTATTAGTTATTATAAAATTAAAAAATAGATTTATTTGAATTTTGCAAACAACTTTTACATAGAAACTTTTCATAAAAACTCACCATTTAACAATTCGAAAAAACGTGCTAACCAAAAATGAAATTAAAGTTTAGAGATGTGAAAAAAAAAACCGGGCCCACATCTCCCCCCGGCGGACACGTCACGCAGAGACGCAGCGGTTTCCGTACAACTACCACACCGACCCGAGCCAGCTCCCTTCATTCATCTCCCCATCTCCGACGACTCCATCCTCCACAGGTCACAAAGAGAGAGAAAGCGCTAAACCCAAACCGGTCTCGACCTCGTCGGCGCCGCCGCGGCGAGGCGTCACGTCAGGGACCAGGAGATGGCGGGGAGCAGGGCGGCGGGGCGGGGAGGGAGGCCGCTGCTGGGGGGAGGGGGCGGGAAACGCGGCGGCGGCGGCGGCGGCGGTGGTGGTGGAGGGGGGAAGTCGTCGTCGTACACGACGACGGTGATCCTGGCGGCGCTGCTGCTGGCGTCGGTGGCGCTGCTCCTCCTCGTGGCGCTCGGCGCGCTCTCGCTGCCCTCGGGCGGCGGCGTCGGCGTCGGCCACGCCGGCATCGGCCTCCCCCGCCCGCGCCCGCGCTTCCGCAGATCCGCCGCGTTCGAGTCGTGCGTCGTCTCTCGCGCGTTCCTTTTGAATTCCTCCCCCGCCCGCCCCCCCGTGATTGATTGATCCCCTCTCTCCGTGGGATCCCCCGCGTGTGGCTGACGTGCGTGCGTGCGTGCGTGTGTGCAGGGGGCTGGAGATGCGCGGGGGCGAGAAGGGGGAGCCGTGGACGGAGGTGCTGTCGTGGGAGCCCCGGGCGTTCTTGTATCACAATTTCCTCGTGAGTTTTTTCTTTGCCTTGTTCCTTGTTCTCTTTTGGTTTTTGGGGGGAACAAACCGCGCATGTTGGATGATATGTTCATTCTACGACGCCATTTCACTCCATTGCTTGATGAGATCTTCAGTTTTTTTTCAGGTTCAAATAACCCTCTAATTAGGTGTTTTTCTTTTCTTTTTTTGGTTGATATGATCGATTTCCGTCCGTCCTTTGGGAGATTCGCTTGTTCCTTATTGGAGTAAAGAATCTGGATGGGGTGGGTAAATTTGGAAATTGTCTTGCTTTAGATGTAGGAATGCCAGGTGAGATTTAGTGGTGTTGTGAATCAGAGACGGGCAGAGTGGGATTGCTTTCCAGATCTGAGCAGCTGCACCATTGGCATTGCACTTTTTACAGAGGGAGTTGTTGTACATGGATGTGTTGTTCTTGTCTCGATGTTTGAGCTGCGCCGAATAATTTGTCGTCTTCTATTTATTTCTTTTTGAGGTTAGAGAGTATTCTTGTAGCAATACTCACTGGCATTCTTAGTCAGTTTCAATCTTTGTTTTTTTAAGTTTCAAGCAATAAAATTGAAGTTCATGTTGATTGTTGATGAGCTTGCGTGGAGCCCAACTTTTGTTTTACTGCAACTACTCATATACTCTTGTTTGGTTTATTACTGATCAAGAAATGACTAACTTCTCTTCCTTCTCAGTCGAAGGAAGAATGTGAGTATCTGATTTCATTGGCAAAGCCTCACATGAAGAAATCTACTGTTGTTGATGCATCAACTGGAGGGAGTAAAGATAGCAGGTTTGGATATCGTAGATTATTCTCTTGAAAACATGTTACCTCAATTACAACTCGTTTAGGCTTAATGGCATGTCACATGTTCAGGGTTCGAACGAGTTCAGGAATGTTCCTTGGAAGAGGGCAGGACAAAATTATCCGTACGATCGAGAAAAGGATATCAGACTACACCTTCATACCTGTAGGTATGGCACCTTTAACACAGTCAACTTATCGACCTCCTGAAAAATAGAATAAGTAGTGCAGTTTTCCTTTTGCTAAAGTGCAGAACTTTAGTCATTGTAGAAACCATACATTTAAACTTCGTTCCTTGGCCCTAATACAGATAATTGATATCCCTATATCATGAAACAGTGCAAGGTTTTGAATCTTTCTTTATCTTGCAATACCTTATGTCACTGAATCACCAAAACTTACACTTTATAGTGATGCATTTGAACACTTAGCTACCTGCTGTGGAACCAAATATGAAAAAGCATTGCCTTTACAGAGTGCAATTGTACTGCTCTTGCTCTCTCCTTTTGATCTGATATTAGCAGAGCAACGCCCATAGAGAAATGTTAAATCCAGATCACTTGCCAGTAATGGTTTAACACTTTAACTATTGTTTTATAAATCCAGATCAATAAGCAGAACCACCAAGAAAAACACAATAAGCACAATAATCCAGATTTACTGAGTTACTATGGCCTGGTTTAGTTCCCAACTTTTCCATCACATCAAAACTTTCCTACACACACAAACTTCCAACTTTTCCATCACATCGTTCCAATTTCAATCAAACTTCCAATTTTGGTGTGAACTAAACACACCCTATATTGAGAGCATATTAGAGCTAGAAAGTCTCTGTTATCAGATTTTTTTATTACCCCTGAGCCCTGTCATTCCTTGAATTCTGTTCGGCAGCTGACATTTGTGACCAATAACACAAGGCCTTTGCAAGTACAATGGTACATAATGAGCATGTTGTAGTACATGTGAAAGTCAAACTTCTCATATTTACAAAAAAGGGCCAGTGCATACTTGAACAGAAACCCAGAAAGATCTACACACCAATTTCTGAAATGTCCTGTACTTATTATGTACTCAAATTTCTTTAGGCTTTTCAAACATTACATATACCTTTTGAGTTATTAAACGTGGGTGGTTTGACACTGGCGCACTTCAATAAATAGTCAGTAAGGTACACAACCAACAAGATGCAATGTACATGGCCGGTATTGATTTTTTTTTTCTTTTTTGCAGTCAGGAATAATAATATTATTATTACAACCAAATCTGATGGATAGTCCTAATAATTCCTAAATATATTCAACTATCATCAAGTGCAACAAATTTTTTATCATAGAAATCACATTATTTTTTTATTTCAAGTTTGTTGCAAATGTTGTTGTTGTTCCTTTCTGTTCATACTCATAATTTCGCAGAGAACGGAGAGGGTCTTCAAGTCCTCCACTATGAAGTTGGACAGAAGTATGAACCTCACTTCGATTACTTCCATGATGAATTCAACACCAAAAACGGGGGGCAGCGTATAGCAACTCTTCTTATGTATCTGTATGTACTATAATATTGGTAATTCTTATATAATGCAACGCCGCTGATTCATTTGACATTTGTTTTTGTCTTATTTGAAATTTATTAGTTCTGATGTTGAAGAGGGTGGTGAGACTATTTTCCCCTCTTCTAAAGCTAACAGCAGCTCATCACCATTTTATAATGAGCTGTCTGAATGTGCTAAGAAGGGTTTGGCTGTCAAACCCAAGATGGGAGATGCTTTGCTTTTCTGGAGCATGAGGCCTGATGGGTCTTTGGATGCCACAAGCCTTCATGGTGAGATTCCAATACTTTGGTACAATGTCAAATTGTTTTGTAGTGAATGGTTATGCCACAACATGATGACATTTCTATTTACCTTCAACTTCCTCTAGGTGGATGTCCAGTGATAAAAGGTAACAAATGGTCATCGACAAAGTGGATGCGTGTTCATGAGTACAAGATATAGACATCAGAAACTAGAGATTCAGAGGTACGAGTGAGCTGCTCTGCAATTTCCTCCACGTAGCACTGTCTGTTCACTTGGTTTTTTTCTTCACGCAATTCAAATGTCTGTGATCAACCCTTCTGATTCATTTAAAATTTGTTTGATTTATATTTATTTTCAACTCTTTGCAGGTTACTCACGAATTCAAATTTGTCGATGTTGTTGCTTAAAGAAAGAAAAGAAAAGCGGTCATTTTTGGCGCATGTTGAGGACTTCAATTTTTCCATAGAGAAGCATTACAATTTTTTTTAGCTGTAACCAACATGTTGTACACTAACTTCTTAGGCTTATGAACAATGATCATCGCTTTGCTTATGAACAATGATCGTTTCAAAGCGATGGATGTGTCGAATGTATAAATAATAATTGCCCTCCTAAAGTCGTAATGAAATTCATGATATAATGCCTGATGGACTCATTGACAAAAATAGTCTCAATAATATGTGTAATTTTTTCCTAAAAAGTAATATGTGCAATTCCTGCAGAGATCTGGTAGTACTCCATCTATCCTAAAATATAGCAATCTACTTCTTCCGTTTCATATTATAAAACTTTCTAACATTGTCCACATTTATATATATATATTAATGAATCTAGATATATATGTGTGCTTAGATTCATTAGCATCTACTATATGAATGTGGCAATGCTAGAAAGTTTTGTTTCAGAGGTACTCCCTCTGTTTCACAATGTAAGTCATTCTAGCATTTTCTACATTCATATTGATGTATATGTCTAGATTCATTAACATCAATATGAATGTGGAAAATGTCTAGATTCATTAACATCAATATGAATGTGGAAAATGGTAGAATGACTTATATTCTGAAACGGAGGAAGTAGGGGCTGTTTGGATGGTTGCCTCAACCTGCCAAGCCACATATTAGGCATGCCACACCTGCTTAGCCTACCGTTTGTTTAGAGACCAGATTTTTGGCTGCTACAAATAGTCTGCCACAACTCAGTTGCTTTGCCATTGGTTTTTTGGGCAAAGACGCGGCGAGCAAATTATTCGCCACGCTTGCGGCACGACTGTTGCGTGCGGAGAGAGAGCGCGCTACACTCACCTTCGTGAAGAACGGCGTGAAAATCCTTTTGTGAATAGCGCGAAACATTTGACGTTTTGGCGCGAACAATCTGGAAAAAAACGCGCGAAGCTCGGTATCTCCGAGGCTCCCATGTTTATTATCCTCTCTTGTTCCTCTTTTCTCTCTCCAATTCATTCTCCCGTGCAGCTCCAAGCAACAGGCAACTATTCCCCTCTTTATTCCATTAGCTTTTTTCATCTTCTGCTCCATCCCTTTCAGATCCTCTTTTTTTTCTTTAAATCACACAAGTAATCTGTTTCACTGATGAGTGCTCAAGCCATGGAGCAATCTGTTTTTTTCCTAAATCATCTCCATCCCCTTCATCTTATTTAGATCCATATGTTCCTTCCTTTCCTTCAAATCCAGATTCTAATTAATTTGTTCCTTTCGTCAGGGCTTGAGTCATGGAGTAGGCTGGTGAAGAGGAGTAAGTAGTGTGGCTAGAGCAAAGATCTGGCCGTGATTCCTCGAGCGTCCGCCATCGAATCCAACGAGCCAGCAAGTTTCATCACGGTAAGCACACTGCACACAGCCGTATTTGTTTTTTTGGGATTTGGGGTTTGGATACTTGAACTTTATTTTGACTTCTGAAAAAAAAACTTATCATCCAACTGACAAACTTAAAATTTTCGTAAAATTATTTAGTAAAAAAGGAAGTGTACAAGAAAACAGTAGCCGTTGAGGCTACGAACTCCATGTGTTACGTGTAGCTCTCAACTCTGACATATAGTACACGTGCGCGTGCCACCGTGTCATCGCCCAGCGCCGCGGCGACTCCAGCAAATTCGCGAGCATTTTTTATACAAAGCCCCAGCCGCGGCGGCCATGGGAAACGGTGGTGGTGGGAACAAGAAGGGGAGGAGAGACTCGCCGTCGCCGCCGCTCGAGACCCCCCCGCGCGGCGAGTTGCCGTCGACGTCGTCGTCCTCCTCCTCGCGCGCCACCAAGCGTCACCGCGTGGCGGGCATGGCGGACCGCTACTTCCCCAACGACCTCCCGGACTTCGTCGCCGAGGCCCCCGACGGCGGCCGCGGCTTGCTGTCGCTCCCTTACTCCAGCCTCTCCGAAAGGCTCCTCCGCGCCGCGCTCCGGATCAAGGACAAGGTTAGGCATGCGTGTGCCTCGGTTTGGGTTTGGGTTTGGGTTTGGGTGGCGCGCGCGCGCACGCACGCAAGGTGTTCGGCTGATTTCCCCCGACCGCTCCCTGCCCCCCCCGCAGGTCATGGAGGAGACGTGGACCAGGGCGCGGCGACAGGTGACGGACTACACGCTCTACACGGGCGCGCTCGGCACGGCGCTCCTGCTGTTCAAGTCCTTCCAGGTCACCGGCAACCGCGCCGACCTCGCCCTCGCCGGCGACATCGTCAAGGAGTGCGACGCCGCGTCGCGTGGCCTGCCGTAAGACGACGAGCCTTTTTTTTGTTTTCGTTCTGTACTTCTGTTGGTTAGATAATCTTGTACTACCAGTTGATGAGTTGATACACCTGGGTGTCATGGCCTCCTTGGTGTTAAATTAAGACGCAGGTTCTTGACATTCATCTGTGGGAGGGCTGGGGTTTGCGCTCTTGGTGCAGTGATTGCAAAACATTGCAATGACCAGCTGCTACTCACACACTACCTGAGCTCATTTGATGAGGTGAGGAGCCAATGCATGTGTTCACATTTCTGTCCTAATGTGCTCCATGGCTGTAAAACAGCAGATGTTATGTCTAAATTCTAACATTGTAGACTGAGCTATCTTTGTTTGTACTTCTGTAGATAATAGTCACTGAGAAAGTTCCCAATGAGTTGTTATATGGAAGAGCAGGGTATTTGTGGGCTTGCTTGTTCTTGAATACGCATCTCGGCGAGAAGACAATTCCCCATGAGCACATTGTATGTCTGTACTGCGATTCTGTTATTTTCTTTCATATTGTCAGTTCCATAGTGCTATAGAAAGCATCTTACCTAATTTTGTGAAATTACTGCAACTGTGTAGACTTCTGTGGCAAAGGACATCATCGATGAGGGAAGAAAGCTGGCTAAAAAGGGGAACTGCCCCCTGATGTATGAATGGCATGGAAAGAAGTACTGGGGTGCTGCTCATGGGCTTGCTGGCATTATGCATGTCCTCATGCACACTGAACTCAAGCTAGATGAGAAGGATGATGTTAAGAACACTCTGCTATACATGATCAGGAACAGGTATCCTACTGGCAACTATCCATCGAGTGAAGGCAGTGAATCTGACCGCTTGGTGCATTGGTGCCATGGTGCCCCTGGTGTTGCTCTTACACTCGCTAAAGCTTATCAGGTGACTGCCTACATCACATCATTAAAGTGTGTACACATGTTTATCCAAAGCATCTATGTGTACTTATCTTGGTGGTTGTGCAATATGCATACATGGTGTAGCTTTGTTTTCTGCATCAACAAAAATGTCAGCGATTTGACATCTTGTGAAATTCTTGGTTGAAGATTAGATTCCGCGTGTGATCCAACATAGATAACTGAATGTTTCTACTTCAGGTCTTCCATGATGAACATTTCAAGCAGACGGCTGCAGAGGCTGCAGAAGTTGTCTGGAACCGGGGACTTCTCAAGAGAGTTGGAATATGCCATGGTGTAAGTGGGAACGCCTATGTATTTCTCTCACTCTACCGGCTAACTGGCAATGTTGAGTACCTGTACCGGGCTAAGGCTTTTGCTTGCTTTCTGCTTGAGAAAGCTGATCAGTTGATTGCTGATGGGGCCATGCATGGGGGTGATCACCCATTTTCATTGTTTGAAGGGAGGGCTGGGATGGCTTACCTCCTTCTAGACATGGTTAGCCCATCAGAATCAAAGTTCCCGGCCTATGAGCTTTGAAGGGCATCATAAATATATGTATCCTGTTAGGATCAAATGCTCAGTGATCCATCCATCCAAAGTAGCTGTATTGTGTTTTCTTGCGTACCCAGTAATGTGTGCATTGTAATTTGTTGTCTTTGTAAAGTTCAGTATCCAGATGGTGCAAGCTTGAACCTTTGTAAAATACATGTTTGAGGGAGTTCCTTGAAATATGATAATATTTATGTTGGTTGTTGCCTCTATTTGTTTACTGAATAAAATATAGTTTTGCCTCCATGGATAAGTTCAGCAAACACCAAATTTTTGCCATGCTAAAGTCATGAGATTAAAAGGAGTTTGTATTTTCTTAGCAAGTCAGTATATGGTTGATGTTTCAGTATGGTGTTTAGCTGAAAACAATAGATGTACATACATGCCAGAGCAGGCTCACCCAGGTTATTAGAACCTTTCATGTATATCTAGCATGGCACACCAATTAGTTTTTAGTAGTTTGTGGTTGAAGTTTCCAGGTTTTTGATTTTCTTTTGCCCCATGCGTTGACATAATGTACAAGAGAGTTATTCTACTGGAAGTTGAAATAGCTCTTGCATCACATCCTGCTAGGTGGTACAAATTTGTAGTATTAAATCTGAAAAAAAGAGGATAATTTTCTTCAGTTGCACATTTATTTATACAACACTAAAATAGTTTGCGATACCATCATGAGCACGACGTTACAACGTCAACTCTTTAGTGGTGCACATCAGTGAACGCAGTGCTCAACTGTTACCTTTTGCAGTCTGGGGATTTGTCAAATTGCACCTTGTTTTTGTTGCTATCTCATGCATGTTTACTGACGAAGTCTATCACAAGCTGATTCACCAGGTCAGGGAATTGCTCCTGAACAAAATGGGATCCTTCTGGGATGTAAGTGATCCCGTAGTCTGGAGCAATTTCTTTCAGTTTTTCACTTGACATATATTCCTTCAGTGCTGGAAACTTGAGGATGTAGTCTTTCTGACCCATAATCACAAACATTGGCATTTCAAACCTTGGATTAGCACCTTCTGCTTTTGCAGCCTTGGTCCTATTAAATCAACACAAGTGTTAGTAACATCCTTAGGTTTGTACAAGTATCAAAGTAATTGTAATAGCATCATATCAGGACACTGAGAATTGCTTGTCATATTTTGTTGTGTTTTTTGCATGTGCTCACCTATATGGAATTTGGATAGCAGTCATGAGACCTGATTTCTCATACAGGTCGGTGTAAGCTGAGAGGTCTTCTTCGGTGAACCACTGAGGCATCGGTGTTGATTCATCTGCAAGGTCCATGATCTCTTGTCCTTGCTTGGCAACTGGAATCTCACTCCTGGAGAAGAGGATGTAGATTGTGCGCAAGATCCTCCTCGTGTCGAATCGGCCAAAATCCGCCTCTGCTCTCCCAGGTTCCTACTCAGGTAACATAGTTGCATCACAACATCAATCAGAATTGCAAAACCTATGTTCAGTATAAATGTATTGACTGTAAACTGTGTTTACCAAATAGTCAGAAAGAATAAAAACTTGATCGATGAGTGTTTAATTAATTTACCCTCCATCTGTGTATGTAAAATCCCTCAGGAAGTCCACTGAAACTGAGGCTTTCCACAAGAGGTGGCACACCTAAGCTCACAATACCACATACGCGGTCCGGATGGCAGAGGGCAAGATCATATGCTGGTTTGACTCCAAAATCCTTTGCAACAAGGAACACCTTTCAACCATGAAATGATCGTCACTCGTCAGGATACAGTACTTCTTTTCAAAAATTAAGCCAATTTACAAACTTATCAATAATCAAGTAAAATAATGCATGGATGAAACCATAACCAATTTTGCCAATGGGGCAAGTTCTAATTTACATCAGCTTCTGACTTATTTCATGTTTGCCATAGTTATCAAAATGCGTTAGAGACTTGGGGTTCATCTTAGCATTTGCATAAACTTTTATTGGATCTCAATGTTTTCTCCTGCCTGTACTCACCTTGGGAATCGACAGCGAGTCTAGAATGGCCAAGAGGTCATTCATCAGGCCCTGCCATGACGCCTGTGTTAGGTCAGCCGGTGGCTCCGAGAGGCCATAGCCTGGGAAATCAAGTGCAATAGCACGGAACCCGGCTGCTGCTGCTGCAATCATCTGGTGCCTCCATGAGTACCACACCTCAGGGAAGCCATGAACGAAGAGCAGAGTTGCAGCTTCACCTGGAATAACCAAATCAAGAAGCTGAGCTGCATTCTTTCGGAAGAGCAAAAAAAAGCAGAGAGATGCTGATGTCAACAAAAATGAGGTAAGATTCAGACCTTTTCCAATGTGAGCTATGTGAAGCTTCAGGCCTCTGATGGGCAGGTAGGAGTGCTCAATCCTCTGATCCATTGATATGTTCTCTCCAACGTCAGTCTGATTTGCTTGAGATTATATAGGATTATAGCAATTTATGGGCCGAACTTTTGGTCAGGCTAGTAACGGATGGATGGCACAAAGATGCGCACACTTTGTGTGAAGCATCTTCTGCTGATGTCTTCTGCTGTTTTTGTCAGTTTGTGGTAGCCAGAGACAAGATGCTGATGTCTTCTGCTGTCTGTATTTTAATACTCCAAGCAACGCTGCAAAATGTTAACTGAAAAAGATTCCCTCTGTACGTTCATCAGTCAAATAACGTTACTGAATTTTCATGGTCTATATTACTCGATTTTGACTATTACTTGTTCAAATACAGTCATTAAATTGATTTATGTTATCTTTCACATGTGCTGAAGCTTTGGTTTGAAGCAATTGTTTGCATAAAGAAACCAGCAGTAACAAATAGCAAACAGTTCGTTTTACTATCTGCTTCATTCTGATAAAGTAGGGCTGTAAAAAAAGCTCGAAGCTCGCGAGCTGCTTGAGCTCGGCTCGCTGTAGACTCGGCTCGAGCTCGATTCGTCAACAATTCGAGCCGAACTCAAGCCTAGCTCCAAGCTTGCGAGCTTGACGAGCCGAGCTCAAATAGCTCGTCGAGCCCAAATTTCCCTCTGTCAAGTTCTTAAATTTTCAATACAACAGCTAGTACTACTCCTACTCCCAATGAAAAGCTGTATAGAAACAGAGCGTGCAGGGCTGCACCGTGCAGGCACTAGCCTACTAGTACTACTTTACTCTGCAGCACTAGCCTATTAGTACTACTAGCATGCATGCAGCTCTATTTAATAGTACTACTAGTTGTCATATCATGTTTGAAAAAGCTACTAGTACTAGTAGTACTCGACAAGCATGCATGCAGCCTCCTTTCATCTGTATTGGTTATTTGAGGGCACACGAGTTAGGCTCAAGAAAGCTCGAGGCTCGAGCGAGCCGAGCTCGAGCCCATTTCTAAGCTTGCAGTTTAAACAGGCTCGACTCGAGCTCGGCTTGAGTTGGTGCCGAGCTCAAGCCTATATAGGTAAGCTCGCTCGAGCTCGGCTCGTTGACAGCCCTATGATAAAGTCTCTTTTTTTTGGAAGGTGATAAAGTCTGTCTTTTAAGATTTATCCTGATAGTCAGTTGCAAAGATAGTACTAACATGCTAAGTATAATGAAAAGTTTGAGAAATTCTCAAGCAATTGGCAAATTTTGATTGACTGACAGTTGATGGTTGCAAACAAATCAAGACATTTGCAATAAAAGAAGGGGAGAAGGCATTCGTGATCCTCACCTTGACTATTTTAAAGATGTAATTACCATTATCTTAAAATAGAAACCGAGTAATAAATGAGACACGACCGAGTGAATTTTTGTATAGGGGATTGAGCGTTGTCTTTAATCTGATTAGTTTACTATATTTAGGGCATTTCTAACCCTCCACCTAGAATGGTGTCTATGACATTAACTACATTGTCATGTAGGACTTTTAGTTTATGTGACACTATATTAATTAAGAGAGAGAGAGTGGAGAGAGGAAGAAACTGGGTCTCATGCAAGACACAGCTTCAACACGAGAACCTATGCACTAGACACTATCAAGTTTTACATTTGGAGAGAATAGTGTCTTCATAATAGATGAAGAATAAATATGATTGGTAGAGAAAAGAGATGATGTATTTATTAATGGCATACTTTAAGAATCCATGGGTTGTAGAGTGTAGTTTCTATTGTGATGTCTTATTGACATGGCACTATAGACACTGCTTATGAATACTATGGGTTTGGACTGCCCTTAGAATTGAAAAGTAATAGCTAATCACAATTTCAAAATGTCGGAATCCAGTCATCACAAATGACGATCGAAGATGGAAGCAGCTGTAGAATGTCAACAGGTTACAGGCCCCTAATGTCATTTTCGCTCTAATGTTACAGTTCATCAATGTCAATCAATGAATATGGTTTAGGCCATGCTTAGAAGGTGGGTTTTTTATTGCGAGTTTGTACGGAAGTTTGAGTTAGGCTTTTCGAGTATGACATATGTTGTTTTAATTAAGGCCCTGTTTAGATGGGACTAAAACTTTTAAGTCCCTATCACATCGGATGTTTGAAAATTAATTATAAATATTAAACGTAGACTATTAATAAAACCCATCCATAATCTTGGACTAATTTGCGAGACGAATCTAATGAGCCTAATTAATCCATGATTAGCCTATGTGATGCTACAGTAAACATTCTCTAATTATAGATTAATTAGGCTTAAAAAATTTGTCTCGTGAATTAGCTTTTATTTATGTAATTAGTTTTGTAAGCAGTATATATTTAATACTCTAAATTAGTGTCTAAAGACAGGGACTTAAGTTAAGTCCCTGGATGTAAACACCACCTAAATGTTGGCAGTTTGACATTCAGTGCATTTCAATAAATAGCCGGTGTGGTATGTAAGTACATAACCAACTAGTAGAAGATTTTAATGCACATGACGGGTCTATAATTCAATTTTTTGCAGACCGGAAAAACAATAACGTTACAGCAAAATATGATGGTTAGTCCTAAATACATCTAATTATTATCAAACGCAATAATCTTCAACCACATATGCTAAGTTATTTTAAGCTATAATTACCCATGGTTATAGTCACTAATCACAGCGTCCAATAGTCACAAATGAGGATAAAGAAGATGGAAGCAGCAACATGTAACAGGCAAAGATAAGCATTTCACTCCACTTTGCAGCAAAGTCAATCCATGAACATCAGTACATCACATAGGTCATGTTTAGAAGGCTGGATATTTTTATGAGTTTCTGTAGAAGACTGAGCAGGTTCAACTAAAACCTAACTTGCCAAGTGCCAACTCAGGCAACGTAATCATCAACAACAAGTCGCATGTGGTGATTTCATCAATCTTAAGATATGTCGGCTCTGTTTTCAAAGGTGTTTATAGGGGTAGCGCGTTTATAGGAGTAAATGTGCACGTGCATATAGGCGTATGCGTTTGTGTTTCGAAAAAAAAAAGTTAATCCATAAATATGATATAGGTCATGTTCGAAAGGCTAGATACTTTTATGAGTTTCTGCAGAAGATTGAGCAAGTTCAACTGAAACCTAACTCGACAAGTGCCAACCAAGGTAACGTAACCATCGACAACAAGTCGCTTGTGGTGATTTCATCAATTTTAAGATACGCCGGCTCGGTTTTCGGAGGTGTTCGTAGGGGTAGCTTGTTTATAGGAGTGAGTGTGCACGTATGTGTAGGCGTATGTATTTGTGTTTTGAAAAAAAAAAGTTAATCCATAAATATGATGATATAGGTCATGTTTAGAAGTCTGGATATTTTTATGAGTTTCTCTAGAAGATTGAGCAGGTTCTACTGAATCCCAACTTGCAAGGTGCCAAACCTTGATGATTTTATTTATAAAGGTATCAGTTCCAGGCTACTTCTTGGATTCCAGTTCATAAACCGTTTGTCCTGAATCCCTGACCTTCAGACAAATCAGAAGGTGCCAATGCAGAAGAGACACTAAATCTTGGTTTGTTTTCATCACCTCCAAGAAACAGAAAATTCTCCTATAAAACCGAAGTGATCACTCTCCTCCCGAGCTCGAAGGAGCAACAATGGCGGATCAGATCGAGCACCTCCACCTCCCCATCCGTGGCCTCAACCTCCACATCGCTCAAGTCGGCAAAGGCGAGATCTCCTTGTGTATCTACGGACATTGAACTGTTCCATGTGTTCTTCACAAATTTTAGGTGAGATTTTGCGTTTTGGGTGGTGAATTTTGATTTTGATTCTTTTTTTTTTCTGGATGCAGATGAGCTCGGGACGGTGGTGTTCTTGCACGGGTTCCCGGAGATATGGTACTCGTGGCGCCACCAGATGCTCGCCGCGGCGGCCGCCGGGTACCGCGCCGTCGCGCCGGACTGGCGCGGGTACGGGCTGTCGGGGCAGCCGCCGGAGCAGGAGGAGGCGACATGGGACGACCTCGTCGCCGACGTGCTTGCCATCCTCGACGCGCTCGCCGTGCCCGGGGCGTTCCTGGTGGGCAAGGACTTCGGCGCCATGCCCGCCTACGACTTCGCGCTCCGCCACCCGGCGCGCACCCGCGGCGTGGCGTGCCTCGGCGTCCCCTTCAGCCCCGCCCCGGCCTCCTTCGACGCCATGCCCGAGGGCTTCTACGTCCTCCGCTGGCGCGTACGTGCTCGCCGCCGCCGCCGCCATTGCCGCCGTCGCCGTCTGTTCTTGCTGCTGACGCGAACGCGATGTGTGTGTGGTGGCAGGAGGCGGGGAGGGCGGAGGCGGACTTCGGGCGGCACGATGTGCGGCGGGTGGTGCGCACCATCTACATCCTCTTCTCCGGCGCCGACATCCCCGTCGCCAAGGAAGGGCAGGAGATCATGGACCTCGCCGACGCCTCCACGCCGCTGCCGCCGTGGCTCACCGAGGCCGACCTCGACGTCTACGCCTCGCTCTACGAGAACTCCGGCTTCCGCTTCCCCCTCCAGATGCCTTACAGGTACACAAGCCGCCGCCGCCGCCGCCGCGGCGGCGCAGCCACCGTGTCCACCATTGTCAGCGACGAACCTCGAAAAAAATTACCTGGCTCCAATAGATAGTAATTATTTAATTATTGACTTATATATTACTCCATTCGTTTCTAAATATTTGACACCGTTAACTTTCTAGCACATGTTTAACCATTCGTCTTATTTAAAAACTTTTGTGATTGTAAGTATATTTAACAATGAATCAAATGTTAGGAAAAGAATTAATAATTACTTAAATTTATTTAATAAAACGAGCAGTCAAACATATTTAAAAAAATCAACGATGTTAAATATTTAGAAACAGAGGGAGTAGTAATTACTATTATGCAATTTAGTTAGTACTCCCTTGTCCCTTCGTTCCATTTTAAGTGCAGCCATGATTTTATCATCCTTCTTATTTAAAAAATTTTTGAAAAAAAAATTAAAAACATAAGTCACACATAAACAACTATTTATGTTTTATACAGACTCATGGTTACATTTAAAATAAAACGGAGGGAGTATTGGATAATTTACATGGATCCTATGACCCCGGGATGTTGAACATGAGATCGTCACTGGCCATTGCTGATCGTTGCATGTCTCCATGGATGGATCGTACGTGCAGGGCGGTACATAGGAGGCCAAGCCGGAAGGACGCGAGGTTCGAGGTGCCGGTGCTGATGGTGATTGGGGAGAAGGACTACGCGTTCAAGTTCCCGGGGTTCGAGGCCGCCGTGCGGGGCGGCGCCATGGAGAGGTTCGCGCCGGAGCTGAAGATCGAGTTCCTCCCGGAGGGGAGCCACTTCGCGCAGGAGCAGCTCCCGGAGCAGGTCAACCGGCTCCTCCTCGGCTTCTTCACCGAGCACCCGGTTGCCGCCGATTGAGATCCTCTCTCTACCTTCGAAGTGATCACGCGTTTATCACTGACATGTGAATCTAGAGTTTACTGGACTCACTCACATGTTAGTAATAAAGTCACGTAACTTACAAGATAGACTATCTTAACGTAATAAAATAGGGACGTCTAGAAGCAAAGTGTAATATTGGGATCAAGTATTGTACTCGCACACAATTTATAATCCACGTGTAATAGTGGGAGTGAATGTGACCGTGGGAATAATTTGTAATTTAATAATTTTAAAGTTTAAAATTAGTACTACCTCTATTTTATATTGTAAGTCATTTTAATTTTTTTGGGTTAAACTTCTTTAGATTTAACTAACTTTGCAGAAAAATATAGTAATATTTTCGAAAAAACTATCAAGTTCAATGTTAAATTTAAGGAAACTTATTTAGTGTTATAGGTTGTTAAATTTAAGGAAACTTATTTAGTGTTATAGGTGTTACCATATTCTTTTTTATAAATTTGGATAAATTTATATAATGTTTGATAAGAAAAATTTGAAACGAGTTATAATATGAATCGATGGAGACAAATATATCTCAATTAAGGAAGAAGAAAGATGGTGAGCACCAACCAGGGCTAGCTTCCTGCCAGCTATCTGCCGATCTATTTAATGCACCGTTTTCTATTATGGAAAAATTAGTAAATGAACTACTCTCCCGTGTGATATTAAGTTCATATTTTGACTTCTTCCATTCATTCCAAAATAAATTTATTTTTTAAGTAATCATTGCATCTAAATTTGTAAATTTAGATAATAATTGAATTCGGAGTAGATAAAATAGAGAATAGTTGCTTTGGGATTTGATAAATAGGGTATTTTATCTTTTTATTTCGCATTGGTATGTGTCGGTGACATGGGGCCGGGGGTATCGTGACTAGAGGCTTGGGTAGCCGCGGTCACCCACGTGGCCTGACCCCCTCGGGGGGGTCGGGCCCGAGGGTGACGTGGCCACCCCTCCCTCTGTCTCCCCGAGGGGTCGGGCCGCTCCCGTTTCGGCCCCGAGGGCTGGGGCGCCCCGACCCCCTGTGGTTTTGGCGCCACGTGTGTGGGTTAGGTGAGCACCGCATTTATAGCAGGTTGGACGAGCGCGTCACGCCGCATTTAATGCAGCGCAGCGCACGCTTATCCGGTCCGTGACCGGTCGCGGTGTGTGACCGGTCACAGACCGGTCAGATCGCGGGTTAGGTGGCAACAGGCGGCCTGTCACACGCCTCGCCCCGTCCCGTCGGAATGATGAGAGCTTCCTGGCTCTCGTCCCTAGCCGGAGCCGGCGTGCTAACTCCTGGAGTTGGTATGTCAGTCCCGGTCAGATCCATTCCAGGCTTCAGCGCAAGTATGGCAAGGAAGTCGCTGGCCATTAAATGAAGGTTGAAATGGGCGTCCACCGGGAAAGCGGGCGAGCGGGGCAGGAGGCGTGCGCACTGCTTGTCAGAGGTCACTTCCGGCTGTAGACTAGCCCTCATTGTAAAAAGCATGTTTCCCTTCTTAGGCAGCGAGAGGCCCATGTGGTGACCCCTGACCAGAGAAAAAGGAGGCCCAGGCTTAGAAAGAGAGAAAAAAAAGGAGAGGGGAGTTGGGACTCTGGCGAATGGGTTCTAGAGCCTGAACTCTCTCTCGCTCTCCGGCTCTCTGTATTCCTTCACATACAGATCCACCAGAACACAGGAGTAGGGTGTTACGCTTCTCAGCGGCCCGAACCTGTCTACGTCGCCCGTGTCTCGTGCACTTCCTCTCTCGCTGACGTTCCTCAGATCGAGGGCGAAGAACCTCACTTAGCGCCCCCGGCCGAACCGGCAAAGGGGGGCCTGCGCGGTCTCCCGGTGAGGAGCCCCACGCTCCGTCAGTATGTATGGGATGGATGAAAAATAAACTCATTTTAGAACTAAGTGAGTATAATAACAACGTTTGATTTTTAATGTATGAATTAATAGCGTCAAAAATATTAAGGATGATGGTAGTATATGCGGTAAAAACGTAAAGATAATTCACACACCACGAACGAAACCTTCTCCACCTTCTGTCCACGAGTTGGACATGCACCAGCAGCTAGCCAGTACAAAGAAAAAAAAACGTACAGCAGGTGCGGCATCCCCATCTGACCCCGCGCGACTCACCTCACCTCCCCCGTGAGTTGGGATCCTCTCCTGTAATGTATGTGCGGTAAGTGCCAATGACATGTGGGCCCGGAATAGGTGGGACCCACATGCCAGTGACACGTACTGCAGGTGCAGTACAGCAGTGGATTTGCATCCCCCACCTCACACTCCCACCACCGTCACGTCGCCCCTCTGCTCTCTGCACTGCTGCGGCGAGGAGCTAGCTCGAGCCGGCCGGAAGCCATGGCCACGGCGGAGCAGCGGCAGATCGAGCACGTCCACCTCCCCGTGCGGGGGCTCACCCTCCACGTCGCGCAAGCCGGCAAAGGTTTGCCCTGCGCGCGCGCGCCTCGCCGCCGCCGCCGCCGCCGACGATCGTCGGGTGAATGATTGTTGGGCTGCTGGTGGTTTGCAGGGGAGCTCGGGACGGTGGTGTTCCTGCACGGGTTCCCGGAGATATGGTACTCGTGGCGCCACCAGATGCTCGCCGTCGCCGCCGCAGGGTACCGCGCCGTCGCGCCGGACTGGCGTGGGTACGGGCTCTCCGACCAGCCGCCGGAGCCGGAGGCGGCGGTGTACGACGACCTCATCGAGGATCTCCTCGCCATCCTCGACGCCCTCGCCGTGCCCAAGGTGACGATGAAGTTTGATTTTTCACAGATTTTTATCCTCTTTTCGTAGCTTCAGATTAAGAAAAAAAACTTCAGATTTTCAGTTTTGAGTGCGTGGCCTTTTGCTATAGCTCGTAAAATGTAAGGTATAATTCATAATTGGTTGAACAAAGGTTCGAGATTTCGATTTTTTTTGTAGTTTTTTTTTAATCCTGGATAATTTGTAAGTAGAACGCATAAACTTTCAGTGTCGTGATCCGTAAGGTAGAAATTTGGAGAGGATAATTTGTCTGCTATTATTTTCGTCAGTTGATACTACTATCAGTTCCACCGAATTGATTTGAAGCTGGTAAAAAACCCACGTTGGTAGCACCAACAACCAAGAGTGTATTGAAGGTCAGAAAATTCAGTGCAACATATTAAGGTGCCATTTTTCTATTCATTCTAATATAATCGGCAATGCTTTTGCCGCCTACCTTTAAAGAAAGTGCCATTTTTCTGTCTAAAAGATAAGGATATCAATTTCTCCCTAATAAAGAAATCAGCTCCTTATAAATTTGAAAATAAATAATGCCTATTTGGTTTCTTCTTGATAATTTATATGTTTCTTTGGGTTAGGCATTCCTTGTTGGAAAGGATTTTGGGGCAATGCCAGCTTACGACTTTGCTCTCCGTCACCCAAACCGCACATGTGGTGTGATGTGTCTGGGCATCCCCTTAGGCACTGCTGGTTTGTCCTTTGACACATTGCCAGAAGGATTCTACATTTTACGTTGGGCGGTAACTCCGAAACTGTCATGATAATTTTTTTAGTGCACTATTTGCTTATAATGACCATGAAAAAGAAAAATATATCTTACAGCAACCAGGAAGAGCAGAAGCTGACTTTGGCAAGTATGATGTAAAGAGAGTTGTGCGCACCATCTACATACTATTCTCTAGGAGCGAGATCCCCATAGCTAAGGAAAATCAAGAGATCATGGATCTTGCAGACTTATCGACACCCCTTCCCGAGTGGTTTAGTGAGGAGGATCTTGATGTCTACTCATCCCTCTATGAGAATTCTGGTTTTAGATATCCGCTACAGATGCCATATAGGTAAAAATATTTTCTTCGGATATTTGTACTCGATGGTACTAAGTTCACCAATATTTGATAGTTCGAGATTTGTGCCATGCTTGTTAGGTCTCTGCACCAGAGAAAACCAATTGGAGATGCAAAATTCCAAGTCCCAGTGTTTATTGTCATGGGAGAAAAAGATTATGTCTTTAAGTTCCCTGGTATCGAGTCTGCTATGAAAGACGGAACTATGGAGAAGCATGCACCAAACATAAAGATCACCTACATCCCTGAAGGAGGGCATTTTGTGCAGGAGCAGTTCCGTGACTATGTGAATGAGCTCCTTCTTGGCTTCTTGAAAGATCATCCTGTGGTTATATAAATGCTATTGTAGCCTCAGTTGTGCTTCACCCGTAGTTCAAGTTGGCTTAGAAAACGTTGTGCTATATCATGGTATGAATTTGTCAACAAACTAAGGATCAGCTATGGCTAGTTTGTTACTTTCAGTAATGCCTATTTGAGCTTGTTGTATCTAGGTTGTCCTGCTGGTGTTACTAGCAATGTAAAGACTAAACCCATTGCTATACTTCTACCATGACTTTTGCAAGCCAATGATGTGAACTTATACCATGATTTTAGAAAGTCTTACTGTAAAAGACGGAGTACGTAGTTACTATGTATACGGATGATTAATCATAATTATATAAAAAATTAAAAAATTAACAATCACTGTAATAAGTACTTATCTTTTATGATTGATTTAGTTTTAGAGAAATGTTTGTAGATCACCTATCTCATATTAGAGAAATTTTGACCTAATCCTCTTATATTAGAGAAATATTATTCCGGTGGCCGTGCTTCCTCCCTTCCTCATCCTTGTACCAAACACAATAACTCAAACTGTCATCCCTCTTTCAGCCTCATCAACCCAATAAATAAATAAATATAGACTTAAGTCTACTTTAACCCAAAAATTTTGTGTGTGCGCGTGCTTGTGCGTGTGCGGGGGAGTGGTGGTGGGGGTTGGGGGCCGTGGTTGAATCTTTTTTTAAATACTAAAATGAGTACTCATATTCGTTTTCTTTTTTTCTGTTAAATACTAAAATGAGTACGAATAGCTCGAATACAAAAATAATCATGGATTATCTCGAATCCAGATAAGGGCAAAATATAATTAGACACAAAAAGAACAAATAATTAAAAAAATCATATTGTTTTGGTGTAAACATATAAAGGCAATTCTGAAATGTCATCTACTCCCTCTGTTTCAGGTTATAAGACGTTTTGACATTTGGTCAAACTCAAACTGTTTCAAGTTTAACTAAGTTTATAGATAAATATAGTGATATTTATAATACTAAATTAGTTTCATCAAATCAATAATTGAATATATTTTCATAATAAATTTGTCTTGAGTTGAAAATGTTACTACTTTTTCCTATAAACTTAATCAAACTTAAAATAGTTTGACTTTGACTAAAGTAAAAAATATCTTATAACCTAAAACGGAAGGAGTAGATAACTAAGAGTGCCAGGTAGAAGGAAAACCTTCTCTACCTGGCGTCCACTAGTTCGATATGTAGCAGTACAAAAACGTACTCTCTCCAGACTGATAATACTTGTTGTTTTAGATAAGGGTGAGGTCAAACTTTAGAATAGTTGATTAGAATTATTTTTAAAGTATTTGTTTTTCAAATATCACTATAGATTAATAAAATCATATATTTGTTAACATTTATATATATATATATATATATATATATATATATATATATATATATATATATATATATATATATATATATATATATTATAATAAAAAATAATGGTCAAAGTTGTTTTTTTAGACCGTATCCTTATCCAAAACGACAATTATTATCAACCCGTAGAGATGACGCATCCCCACCTCACACTCGCACTGTCACGACGTCGCCTCTGCAATCTGAACTTCTGCGGCGAGGAGGGAGCTCGAGCCGCCCGGAAGCCATGGCCACGGCGGAGCAGCAGCAGCAGATCGAGCACGTCCACCTCCCCGTGCGGGGCTCACCCTCCACGTCGCGCAAGCCGGCAAAGGTTTGGCCGCCTCAATTTGCGTTGCCTGCGCGCGCGCCTCGCCGCCGCCGGCGATCGTCGGGTGAACGATTGTTCGGCTGCTGGTCGTTGCAGGCGAGCTCGGGACGGTGGTGTTCCTGCACGGGTTCCCGGAGATATGGTACTCGTGGCGCCACCAGATGCTCGCCGTCGCCGCCGCCGGGTACCGCGCCGTCGCGCCGGACTGGCGCGGGTACGGGCTCTCCGACCAGCCGCCGGAGCCGGAGGCGGCGGAGTACGACGACCTCGTCGAGGATCTCCTCGCCATCCTCGACGCCCTCGCCGTGCCCAAGGTACGTAAGCTCCTCAGTTTAATCGATCCTTTTACGAATTTTTTTAGCAGGTTTCCAGTTTTGAGTCCTACTCGTGCATGCAGACTGTGAAGCTGTGTAAGGCCTTCTTGCTATAAAACTTGCAAACGGAAGGCATAATTCAAAACAGAATTTTTCACTTCTTGTGTGCATCCTGGTTAGCAATTTGTAACGAAACATATAAACTTCCACTGTCATACACAGCAAGGGAGATATTTGGAGAGGATAATTTGTTTTCTGTCGTTAACTAGTACTGTAGTCTAGTATTCAGTTGGTACCACGTCGGTAAGCACCAAGCCACCAACAATCAAGATTCAAGAGTATGTTAGAGGCATGAAAAATGAGTGCAAGATATTAAGGTGCCCTTTTTCTGAGTAAAAGATAAAAGATAAGGGTTTCAATTTCTCCATAATGAAACCAGCTGCTTATAAATGTCTTGCCTTCAGTAAAAAAATCCTTTAGTTTGTTGTTTGCTCCTGATAGTTTATATGTTTCTTCTGTCAGGCCTTTCTTGTTGGGAAGGACTTTGGGGCCATGCCAGCTTATAGTTTTGCTCTCTGTCATCCAAATCGTACATGTGGTGTGATGTGTTTGGGCATCCCTTTCGGCGTTAATAGTTCATCCTTAAACACCTTACCAGAAGGATTCTACATTTTACGTTGGGCGGTAATTCTCTAACTATCATGCCAAAATATTGTGTGCAAGATTCGCTTATAGTGACAGTGGAAGAACTCGTCTTGCAGCAACCAGGAAGAGCAGAAGCTGACTTTGGCAAGTATGATATCAGGAGAGTCGTGCGCACTATCTACATACTCTTCTCTAGGAACGAGATCCCCATAGCTAAGGAAGATCAAGAGATCATGGATCTTGCAGACTTATCGACACCCCTCCCCGAGTGGTTTAGTGAGGAGGATCTTGATGTCTACTCATCCCTCTATGAGAAGTCTGGTTTTCGATATCCGCTACAGATGCCATATAGGTAAACATCAATTCATCAGTTGTCAGCACTCATAACACTAAGTTTATCAGTGTTTGATAGTTTGGGATTTGTGCTATGCTTTGTTAGGTCCATGCATCAAAACAAACCAATTGGAGATGCAAAATTTCAAGTCCCGGTGTTTGTTGTCATGGGAGAGAAAGATTATGTCTTCAAGATACCTGGTATCGAGTCTGTTATGAAAGACGGCAGCATGGAGAAGCATGCACCAGACCTAAAGATCACCTACATTCCTGAAGGAAGCCATTTTGTGCAGGAGCAGTTCCCTGAGTTTGTGAATGAGCTTCTTCTTAGCTTCTTGAAAGACCATCCTATGGCTGTTTAGAAACTCCACATTGTGCCTCACCCTTACTACAACTTCGCTACAAGAACACTATATTGTTCGATATTATGATGTGAATTATCAATGAAGGAACTGGTATGGTTGATGTTACTTTCAGCAACGCCAGTTATGTTTGAACTTGTTATACCCTGTGTCTGCGGCTAGTGTTGTCAGCAATGGGAAGATTTTTTTTGTTTTTTTCTCCTGGCTGTTAATGTTATACCCTGATCTTAGCAAATCAAGGCATTAGTACTTTGACACAAAAACATGCTTAGAGAATCACCAACGGTTCCCTTATTCCATCCCAATCCTAGTTTTTTGGAATTTTGGTGAAAAATAATGCCTCCAATAGATGTCCTATTTGAATCCTAATTGTTTGGAAACCCTTTGCCGCATCCTTTGTTCTATTTACTTGAGGGAGAGCGACGTCGTGTCTGTCGTCCCCTATCTCTCATTCGCACGAGATTTTTCTCAAGGGTGAGCGTCACGAGCGCATGTGAGCGCCAGGAGCACGTGTGAGAGGGAGGAAAACGGGAAAATTGGTGTTAGTTTAACAGAAGTGCCCACCTTTAGTTTTGGGATATTTTAGGCTTTCTCTTGGAGAGATCAATTTTTTGGCTACCTATTTTCACTTCAATAAGCCAAAAAAGAAATCTTTGGGGGAAGATTATACATAATCTCCTAGTGATGTTCTTAGGGACTCTTTGAAATACAGGGTTCCAATAATCTAGGTGATTTTAGTGCCACATTTTCCTGAATTTGGGTTATCCCAGGATCGGATCCTATATCCCTTATTAACACTCCCGATAATCTGGGTGATTTTAGTGCCACATTTTCCAGAATTTGGGTTATCCCAGGATCCGATCCTATATCCCTAATTAACACTCCCGGCGATTCTACCCAACTAGGATTAAAAAAACGCGAATATTAGGGAAGGACCTAATATCAAATAATTAGAAGGGGTGAGGCTTCGAACCCAGGTCGTCTATTCCACCACCTTGTGGAGCTAGTCGGAAGACTACTTGAGTGTTTCTCAAAAGAGGGATGCAACAAAGGACTTTTAAGGAGGTCACCTATCCTAGTACTCTAGGATTACTATATGATTCTTGAAAATCCAACTAATTAACATTCTTTGAACTAAATACACCCTATAAGCGTACATATATAAATAAAAAACAAATCTATAAATTAAATGTTGTGTCGTTTAAATTCCAATTATATCTTGAACCACATGAAAAACTCACGTTACCTCTTGGGTCACTTGATTACATGCAAAAAGAACAAATTTTAAGACAATAAGGCCTGGTTTAGTTCCTAACTTTTTCTTTAAATTTTTAACTTTTCCATCACATCAAAGCTTTCCTACACATACAAATTTCCATTTTTTCCGTTTCATCGTTCCAATTTCAATCAAACTTTCAATTTTGTCGTGAACTAAACACATCCTAATTAGAAATAAATGATGTGAAACCCAATGCGTATTTCTTAGTATTTATTGGGAAAAGAAAATACTTCCTCCGTCCTTTAATATAAGGGATTTTGATATTTTTGTTTTTACCATTTATCTTATTAAAAACTTGTGTAAATATAAAAAAATAAAAAGTTGTACTTAAAATACTATGGTTAATAAAGTAAGTCACAAATAAAATAATTAATAATTTTTAAAAAAAATTAATAAGACGAATAGTTAAACCGTACGAATAGTTAAGAGGACAGAGCCTACTTTTGTCAACGAGTTGGAGTTCGACGTGGAGCAGCAATGAATAGCCGCAAAGTACGGTAGCTTTTCCCATCCACGTCACACTTCACGCTGTCACGTCGCGATCTGCTCTCTCTTCCCACTGCAGTGCTGCCGCGTGAGCGTGACCGCGTCGTCGTCCACGGCGAGCTCGACACCATGGCCGCCGCCACGGAGCAGCCGCAGCAGATCACCGAGATCGAGCACGCCCACCTCCCCGTGCGTGGGCTCAGCCTCCACGTCGCGCAGGCGGGCAAAGGTACGGCCGCCTCCGCGCGCTAGCCCTCCTCCCCCCCCCCCCCCCGACCACTTCGTTCGATTCCTTGGCTTGCTTTGCCCGCCCGCCGCGCCGCGCCGCGCGCGCCGCCGTAGCTAGCCCACCAGGTGTTTGTTTGGCTGTCGCATGCAGGGGAGCTCGGGACGGTGGTGTTCCTGCACGGGTTCCCGGAGATATGGTACTCGTGGCGCCACCAGATGCTCGCCGTCGCCGCCGCCGGGTACCGCGCCGTCGCGCCCGACTGGCGCGGGTACGGGCTCTCCGACCAGCCGCCGGAGCCGGAGGCGGCGGAGTACGACGACCTCATCGAGGATCTCCTCGCCATCCTCGACGCCCTCGCCGTGCCCAAGGTAAGCGCCTGGATCAGTTTGGCTTTTTCACAAATTTTATCCTCTTTGAGTTACTGAGTAAATGAGAGGCAAAATTCATAATTGGTTGGACAAAGTTTAGAAGTTTCGATGGATTTTTGTAGTGTATTGTTTGAGTCATGGATAGGTTGTGACCAAACAAACAAACTTTCAATATCGTAAGGGAGAGATTTGGAGAGGATAATTGATAACACTATCAGTTCTACCGAATTGATCTGAAGCTGGTAGATGTAGCACCAACAATCAAGAGTATATTAGAGGCCTGAAAAATGATTACAAGATATTAAGGGGCACTTTTTTTTCTGTATAAAGGATGGAAGGATATCAATTATTCCCTACTAAACCAATTCCTCTTTTTTTTTTTATTTTCTTGTGATAACTTATACGGTTCTTCGTGTCAGGCATTCCTTGTTGCAAAGGATTTTGGGGCCTTGGTAGCTTATGATTTTGCTCTGTGTCACCCAAACCGCACATGTGGTGTGATGGGTTTGGGCATCCCTTTCGGTAACGATGCTTCATCCATTAACACCTTGCCAGAAGGACTCTACATTTTTCGTTGGGCGGTAATTGTCAGACTGTCATGATAAAACAATAAGTGCATGGTTTGCTTGTAATGACAGTAAAAAAAACTCATCTTGCAGCAACCAGGAAGAGCGGAGGCTGACTTTGGCAGGTATAATATTAAGAGAGTTGTGCGCACTATCTATATTCTCTTTTCTAAGAGCGAGATCCCCATGGCTAAGGAAGATCAAGAGATCATGGATCTTGCAGACTTGTCAACACCCCTTCCTGAGTGGTTTACTGAGGAGGATCTTGATGTATACTCATCTCTCTATGAGAAATCCGGTTTTCGATATCCACTACAGATGCCATATAGGTAAACATCAAGTCATTAATTGTCCATACTAAGTAGTACTGAGCTTAACAATATTTGATAGTTCGAGATTTTGTGCTATGCTTGTTAGGTCTCTCCATAAGAGGAAACCAATTGGAGATGCAAAATTCCAAGTCCCAGTGTTTGTTGTCATGGGGGAGAAAGATTATGTCTACAAGTTCCCTGGCGTCGAGTCTGCTATCAAAGACGGCACTATGGAGAGGCATGCACCAGACATGAAGATCACCTATATCCCTGAAGGGAGCCATTTTGTGCAGGAGCAATTCCCTGACTATGTGAATGAGCTCCTTCTTGCATTCTTGAAAGATCATCCCGTGGATAAATAGATGTTATTGTAGACTCAATTGTGCTTCACCCGTAGTACAAGTTGGCGATGGAAACATTGTGCTATATCATGATATGAATTGTCAACAAATAAAGGATATATTATGGATGGTTTGTTACTTTCAGTAATGCATGTTTGAGCTTGTGTTGCGTTTAGTTTCTCCTGCTAATGTTGTCAGCAATGCAAAGGCCAAAATGTTATTATATTTTAACCTAGTATTGCACTTATACCATCATTTTAGCAAGCCAATGATGTGAACTTATACCATGATGTTAGCAAGTCAATGATGTAAAAGATGGAGTACGGAGTTATTTCTTATATGTGTTTGTGATGAGCCCATTTGTGGCCGTGATGACCAAGACCTCTGGTCGTTGCTAGGATCGGCCGAGTGTGAAGTTTAGGACGATTTTTTTGTGAAGTCGTCAAGGATCAATGATGGATTCCCTCTTTATCACCGAATCCGTCAGGGAAGTCTAAATCTAGTGTTGGTAGGGAAGTGATAACTCGAATTTGCTTTTTTTTTTGTGTCGTATTAAAAAGGGGAAAATTTGGTAAGGTATAAACTTATTGTAGTATTGCAAAACATAACCTAGTTTCTTGGTTAGACTTATCCTTCAGAGCCTAGCAACTTAGGTTAATGAGACAATCCATTATATGCCACTGAGTTTGTCATAGCTCTACGATTTACCACTGTCTTTGTCACGTTCTATAATATACCATCGACTTTTACTTAACTTCTATGATTTACCATCGCCGTCCAGTTAGTCTCCGTTAGTACTGTACAATTTTGTCCAAATGACCAAAATACCCCTGGGATAAAACTTCCAAAATGTGGACAAAAATTCCGAAATACCATATTATAAACATAAGATTGTAAACATTCAAAATTTGTCCAAAAACTTAAAGTCTGACATTTCAGAATTTTTATCCAAAATTTGAAAGTTTTTGTCTCAGGGGTATTTTGGTCATTTGGATGAAAGTGTACAGTACTAACGGAGACTAACCGGATGGCGGTGGTAAATCGTAGAAGTTAAGCAAAAATCGATGGCATATTATAGAACGTGACAAAGTCAGTGGCAAATTGTAGACCTATGACAAACTCAGTGGCATACAATGGATTATCTCTAGGTTAATTATACCACTACATGGGTCTGCCTTCACCAGAAGATATGCTCCCTACCTAGCTACCCTCGATACGATGTCATGCATTGAGGACCTCATTTTTTTTTTCATGTTTTAGAGCATATTTCTTCCACGTGAGCAAAATGTTCTTTTCTCAGGGCTAGGCGGCTAGCAAAGTTGATGGATGGAACCTTGACGACAATAGCATTTCTTAGACAAATAAGCGTATACGATGGCATCTCCTGGAACTGGTATCAGGCACTTATCAATGGTCAGAGATAATTGAGGTGTGCTTCATGCCTTTTAGTGGAAATCCGCGTAGTAATAATATCCTATTATGTGTATTAATATACCTATCTTTGTGTGTATATATATATATATGGGGAAAATATATTATATGTATTCATATGACTTTAAATTGTATTTGTTTTTGTTTTTCTCCAGAGTTGAAAACCATCCAAGCTCTGTTTTCGTCCCTAGTAGTTGCATGTTTGTGAATTATCAATAAATGATCTGCTGTGGCTGGTGTTTACTTTCAGAAGGGCTAGTCATGTTTGTTTGAACTTGTTATATCTCGTTTGTGCTGCTAGTTGCTGTCAACAACGGAAAGGGCAAATTAATTGCATTGGTAGTTCAATTGTAGAATTGGTAAGACAACCTGCATCTCTGATCGAGGTGAGTTGTGCATTGAAGACTTTAAGCCATACCAAGGGCATTAATATAATTGTTTCTGCCAATATAAAATGCGTAGGGCTTGAAGTAAAGCAGTTTAACAAAAGGTTCAAGAAAGACAGGGCAAAATGATCATACTGGAATTTAGAACAGCAAGCACCTGCCCAACAATCTCAGGAAGACGATTTAGTCATAGAGAACAGACCAGCAATTCTCTGTTGCCCAATGCATAAAATCCACACCTTCCGTTCTGAAGAAATGCTCACAGCCTGTGCTGAAAAATGGGGCATTATCTCATATATTAAGCCGACATTCAGGCAGATCTTACAGTCGTAGATACAGACGCCAGTGCTCTGAGAATAAACCGAACCCAAGAAAAATTACATCATCCCAAGTCGCGGCTAGCAAATACACCCATCTAAGAATTTGTGGTATGCATCTGGAGGAATAAACATGCTCATGGTAGTACAGAAGTATTGCTGGCAATTAGGGCATACAAACGATACAGGTTTTAACTGGTGATCGCCGATACAAATTGTAGTAATCGCATGCCTGATTCTTCTTCAGGTAAGGCTTCATGGTTGGAGGAGTGCAGCAATCAGTTCGGTGGTACACAGAATCACGAGGTCGCAGCTCGAGTCCATCCCAGTTCACTACCCAACTGTGTTTCTTTCTCTATATATTCCATTGCCAGCATGCGCAGAAGAATTAGACCTGTGACCAGACTGAGGAGTTGAAAGAAAACTTTAGTCTGGGGATATCCAAGAAGACAATTATAATCCAAGCACATAGGAAACTAAAAAAGATACCCGTGAATCAGTAGACGAGCAGTAACATATGTTATTTACTTGTTTTGTTACAGAAACACAAAATTACTGGTAAGAAAAAGAAAAATTATGCTTCCAAAGGTGGTGTTTTGATCCGCATAGACATTTTATCGATCTTCTATTGCTCTACAGTTGGAATCAGGAGAGGATAGAATAGGGTTGCTTAGCAGAATTAAATAGTCTGACCGCTATTGTGGCAAAAAAATGCACATTCACAAGAGTTGGTTGGAGCAGAAAGTCAGCTTGCAACTCAGTAATCAATGTTAGCATTGACACACTTCAACATAGAATTGCCACATTCCCCAAATACTTCAGTCAAGGTGATACAGTCAATCAAGGAGTAAAACAACACCAATTCTTCAACCAAAACATAAATCAAGCTGAAGGCAACAAGTATATTCTTTCAATCTTAAGGCCATGACAGCATCAACATGATTATAATTTATATGTCATAGATAACTGGGCATATGTGCACAGCAGATTAATACAGCATGAACAGATTCTGCATAGTTTACATACAGAACTCATATTTTTAGACTACCCATGCACCTAGTAGATTTAAGCTAAGGTTTACTTAATGATAACCAACAAAATAAATGATAATGCTGCTTGTCTCAAACAAATTAATTGCAACTCAAATATTAAGAACTCTTCGCAATATTTATTACATGATACTCAAATATTAAGATCTTATAGCTGACCAATAGAATAGACACTGAAAAGCATTTCAATATGAGACATCATAAAGCATGGAAATACGGGAACACAATAGCAAAGTTCTTTATCAGAAGAGTATAATGATAACAGATTGCAATACCTTATCAAAAGTTAAAAGTGAGACAAACTAGGGATCTGCAGCATTTGGATTTTCTTCCTGGCCAAGAGCCAACACAGCTTTCTTCAGAAGGGCCTCAATTGACAGATGTGAGTTCTCAACAGCCTTTGTTATTGCTTGCCATCTCTCTCCATGCTTTGGTTCTGCTGCAACACATCTTTGTAGGACATCCTTTTGTGTATCAGCATTTCCATGTTGCAGTTCAAATTTGTAGTACAAGGCCCAAAAATCTCCAATGTCTGGAGCAAGAGTAACAGCTCTATTCAACCAACTTCTAGCTTTATCAACCTTCCTATCATGCCAGAAAAGTTTGGCCACAGCTGCAATGACATGGGGATCATGGTCACATCGTTTTATAGCATCTGAGCTCTTTGCTTTACGCTGGGGACGTGGCACCATCTCTATAGCTGCAGCCCACAAAATACCACTTGTCGGGCATTCCTGTAATGCCTTGGCTAGTAGAGCATCAGCTTCCTTCTTGTTCCCATGTCTCAATTCAGCCCTAACTGCTGCAAGCCAGAGTTCAGGTGTAGCTGGGTTCTTCTTTCTTGCCATGGTGAGGACAGCACGTGACTTGCTCAAGCCATTTATCTTCTCCTCTAGATTAGCTAGAGAGAGCCAAAGAGGGATGCAACTCGGGCAGTGCTTCAGTGCATTCTCGTAAACCTCCTTTGCCTTGGATCCATGGCCAAGCCGGTCTTCCATTTGTCCAAGCATTAACCACAGCTTGAAGAATGAGGGGAATAACTTCAGACCTTCCTCCAACAGCTTCCTTTCTTCGTCTACATTCCCTAACTCCCTTTCAACAATCGCAGATTTCATCCAGACCCTCTCAGTGCCTCCTCTTTCCCTGGCCTTTGACAAAAGAATTCTTGCTCTCTCTGGTTCATTGTTCTCAAACTCAAGCTTGAAGGCAGCTAGCCAGATCTCCTCTGAATTGGGGAGAGAAGCATAAGCTTCCTGAAGAATGGCTCGGGCAGCCGGGACATCTCCAGCCAGCCATTTCTCCTTTGCACTCATAAGCCATAAAACTTCTGCACGTGGATTGTAGGTAACAGCCTTTCTGAGGAGATTATAAAGAGACTCCTTGGTTCCATGGCTCTTCTCAAGCTGAGCCGCTTTCAGCCAAATACTCTTCTTGGAAACGAAGACACTGAGTGCATGCGCATAGATGGCACGGGCTGTCTCAATTGAACCACGCTTCTTGCATTCCTCAGCATCGGCAACCCATGTGCGTTTTCTGTCTTCCTCATCAACACCAATGCCAATAGTGCTCTTAACAATAGCCTGGCAAGTCAATACAGATCCAGCACGCTCAGCAGCTTCTGCTTCCTTTAGCCATGCCTCCCTGTCAATATCCAATCCTTCTCTCTGTAAAGTTTTTATACTTCTCTCAATCACCTTGATTACTGACTGGGTGTTTCCATTAGCTTCCTCCAGCTTTGCAGCTGTAATCCAGATGGCAGGTTCCTTAGGAAGCTTTTCTCTTGCCTTGTTAAGTACCTTCTTTGCTTGGTCATATGTCTCCAGCCTTGCTAGGGCAAGCCACAGTTCCACATGGAGTGGGCAGCACTCCACAGCCCTGTGAAGCAACAGTCTTGCATCCTCCTCATTTGCAAGCTCTACTACTGCTTTCCACAGTCTGACTGAATCAGGAATGTGTTCCAACCCTTTTCTCAAAACCCTGCTCTTATTCAAATCACTAGTTTCCAACTTTGCTGCCTGCAACCACAGCTTCACAGAATTGGGAATTGCCTTCACGCCCCTAGCAATCACTGCCTTTGCCTCGTCTGGGCTGGCCAGCCGGCATGCCTCGACCCAAACATCCTCATTTGTGGGGCACTCCTCACAGCCACGCTGGATAAGCTGCCGAGCAACCTGAAGCTTGCCAGCAACCTCTTCAAGCCTAGCAGCAGCAATCCATCCTGGTGGATGCTTCGGGTTTGTCTGTGTCACTGACTTAAGCAACAATCGCGCCTTTTTAATGTCAGAAATCTCAGCATCACTAGTAATCTTCATACTTTTCAGGTCCGTCAAGTAACCCTTTGGATCAACAACAGTAAGACCAGATACCGAATCCGACAACCTGTCCAGCTTCAAGGAGAGCACGGTGCCACGACCTTCGCCCACAGCCGTCAGATCGGTAACCGGAGTCTGCGCCCATGGCGTCTCGGTGCCACCAGCTGCACGGCTCTTGGGATCCAGTGCCGTGACATGCTCCTGCTCCTGCCGAGCCTTCTCGAGCAGGGTGTCCGGCACGGGAACGAAGCTCTCAAATCGCTTCTTCTTGTTGCGCAGCGAGTAGTCCCCAATTTCAGGTATGCTTTCCCACTCCTGCGCCGACAAATCGACCAACTTACGCTTCAAATCAGCGAATTGCTCGGTGATCTTAGGGTTGGAAGCACGGTACTTCTCGATCTCCTGCTTCAGCCGCGCCTCCCGCCGATCCTTCCGGCGAGAGTCCATCCTCTGGTCGATGCTCTCCCAGACCGCATCCGCCTCGCGGTCGTCGTCGTCGTAGTCGGCGTTGGAGAACAGCCCGGCGTCGTTGCCCTCGAACTCGTCGAACTTCTGGTTCTCGTCGTACCCCTTCTCCTCGTCGCCGCCATCGTCGTCGCCGTCGTCGTCCCCGGGTGGCTTCCCACGGCCGCGCCCGACGGCGGGGGCGGCGGCGGCGGCGGCGGACCGGTCAGGCAGATCGGGCGCCGCGCGGGCCGGCCCGATATCCGAACGGGTGGTGAACCCGGTGGCGCCACGCCCCAGACCGGCCACGTAGTTCGGGGGCGGCTTGGAGTTGAGGAAGTCGTAGCGCGCGGGGCGGGCGGGCGGCTGCGCCGACGGCGGCGGCGGGGGCGGGGGTGCCGCGGGGGTCGTCGTCGGGCCGGTCATCCCTCCGAGCAGGGGGAGGTGGAGTAGCAGGGAGGAGGAGGCCGAGACCCGGAGGGAGGACAGCAGCGGGGACGGCTCGGCCGGGAGGAGGCGGCGGTGGGCGAGGTAGAGCCGCAGCTGCTCCGGCGGGACGCCGCCGCAGACGCGGGAGGCGGAGGCCGTGAGGTCGGCGAGCGTGGCGGTGGAGGGGTCGAGGTCGACGTGGTGGGTCCTCCCGTCCGGCGCGCGGACGAACACCATCGCGGCGGCGGCGGCGGAGTAGATTGGTTTGGGTTTTTGAGGTCGTGAGGAAGAATACGGAATCGTGGAATTGGTTTAACTATTTTGTGACGGTTTGGGACCTTTGGGTGAATTGAGTCGGTGGCGAGGAGAGGCGGTGGGCTACGTGGGCCGTTCCATGGTGGGCTGATCACCTGCATATGGGCCGTACAAGGGCTCATGGGCCTGTTTGGCTCGTGTTTGGGCCCATCGCCTGACCTTCCCTTCTTTTGGGTTGGGTTTCTTTGGATTTATTTTTAAGATGGGCTTGTTGTTTTATCGACTTATTTGTTGCGAATAAAATCTTACCGTGCCGTATCATCAATTTCATAGGTCATGACTCTGCTGCATCTATTGGAAAAAAAACATATTTATATTGTATAAACAAAGAAAACATGCGTAGTTAGGATGGGCTATCGACGATCACGACAACAATGATAATAACCTAAATAGAGAGCTAGAGATTCTTATAAAGATTCTTATAAGACGCTTGTGATTAGTCGGCTGATGATAATCTGAAAGGGTTAAGTTTCAAGTTTCTAGCTCCAAGTTCATAATCTCAATTTTTATGTACATATATGTGCTAGCACACTACAATTTCTATATGTACATAAAAATCGAGACAATGATGTAATGAAAGTTGTGGCCTAGAGAGATATCATTTAAAGTAAAATGATGGAATAATACAATTTAATTAAAGATTCGATACATAAACAATTGATGAAATTTGTAACCGAGGGAGATAAATTTTAACTGAAATTGTCAAACTATAAATCTGACGAAAGATTCATTCAAATTCCCAAAAAGGCATACATTCACTCATTTTATCTGCCTTGGTGCCAAATTTAACGAAATTTATGTACCCAGTTTCAAATAAATAGACGACTATCCCCATTTTCTTACAAGTTACAATCCACCGCAAGACCACAACACCAAGATTACCCGCCTCCATGCCAATTTCAATGAAATTCGTGTATCCAATTTTAAATAGACAGACAACACTCTTTATTTCGTTACAAGTTAGTACATCTAGGTACTATACAAGAGTAATATTGGAGTGTGTAAAAAACTGCCGTAGATTTTTTAAGTGTAAAACTTCGAGATTAAATTATATTATAATTGAAGTATAGTTGTACTGTAACTGTATTGTAACTACGGTATAACTTATATAAAACATGTATTTAACCGTGGTTTGGCTGACTAGCACCGAGATCTTGCACATAACATGTATGATATTTTTGTAGCAATGTTATCTCTTGAATGTACAAATCTCCAGTAACCCGATGACCATAAATCTGAAAGTTTTGAGAGAAAAAGGGTGTGTTTAGTTCACGCTAAAATTAGAAGTTTGGTTGAAATTGAAACGATGTGACAGAAAAGTTAGAAGTTTGTATGTGTAGGAAAGTTTTGATGCGATGGAAAGTTAAAAATTTTTTTAAAAAAGTTTGGAACTAAACTCCACGGAACTTGCAAAAGTTTTCTAGCAATTTCGATCCAAAATTCAACGGAATTCGTACATACCCAGAGCTCACCACTCCCGAAACGCCACCAAAAGACCAAACCCACTCGTTTCCCCTCCCCCCCTCCCTCTGACTCTCTCCCCGTCGTCGTCATCGTCATCGTCGTTCGTCGTCGTCGTCTCCCCTTTCCACGGCCGCATCCCATTCCCCACCCAACCTGAAAGCGACGCCGCCGCAGCGCACACGCAGGAGGCAGCAGCAAAGCGAGGAGGGGAGGAAACCCTCCCCCCGCGACAGCAACGGGCGGTCGCTTCCAGTGACCTAAGCCTCCCCCTCCCCCCCTCGCGCGCGCTTCCCTCCCCTTCGCCTTTTTGTCTCCTCCGCCCCTTATGACCTCTTCCTCCGCCCCAAACCCTAGCCCCCTCGTCCCCACCCCCACCCCCTCTCCCCCCACCGCCAACGCCGCCGCCGCCGCCGCCGGAGCCGTGCCCGTCTCCTCGCCGACGCCGCCGCCCAAGGATCAGCAGCAGGAGGGCCAGGGGGGTGGAGGAGGAGTGGGGGATGGGGGTGGAGTGGAGGAGGTGGGCGTAGGGGGAGGCGAGGCCATGGAGGTGGATGGTGGCGCGGGAGGTGGTGGTGGGGGGGTTGGGGATGTGGAGGGGGGTGGGGGTGGTGGTGGTGCGGGGGGAGGAGGAGGTGGAGGTGGAGGTGGGCAGCAGGCGTCGCCGGCGACCGTGTTCCGGATCCGGCTCAAGCAGCCGCCCTCGAGCCTCCGCCACAAGATGCGCGTGCCCGAGCTCTGCAGGAACTTCAGGTGCGTTTCGAGATTAGTTGTGGTTTTTTTGGGGGTGTTTTTTCTTTCTGGGATTTAAATATGTTGGGGGAAGCTTAGGTGTGATGAATTTAAACCCTGATCTGTTTCAGCTTATTCATCGATTTATTGAAATGGTTTTTTTCCCCCCGAAAGAAATTTTCCTCTACTGTATTGCTTAGACCACTTGTTTTAAGCTATTTGTTAAGTTTGTCTCTCAAAATATCTAATTTATCCCTATAATATATCCATGACAATAATCCACTCAATAATCTAAATCAAACGATCTGGGTTTACTTTTTTTTTCCTCTTCAAATTTGGGTGGCGTTTCAATGATTGGGATGAACAATCTAGTGACTCAAACTTGCAGAAGCATTAGCGTGGGCATGGAATTGTGATTGCTTTGAATGATTGTATCCTGTGCAGGCTTCTACTATACTAGATCAAATACAGTTATAACATGTAGTGTCATTATTTCACATAACTAAGTTTAGTCAGGTCAAACTGGTTACTTTGTTCACCAGTTAGAAAATACCGAACGTGATAACTCCATTTTTAAAATCCACATTATTTTTTTTTGTTTAAAACTGCTTTGATCTTGTAGGATGAGGTTGCCTTGTCTGCTTTAGCCTACACTATATCGGGAACAACTAGTAACTATCTTATCTATGGTTTTTTTTTTATTGCAGTGCAGTTGCTTGGTGCGGGAAGCTCAATGCAATTGCATGCGCATCAGAGACTTGTGCACGCATACCAAGGTATACATTTTTCCATCCTTTCCCTGAAAATTTACTTTCCTCTGACCTTTAGTTATCCATAAATAAGTTTGTTCTGTTAGCTTGTCTTAGTGGGATATTCAACCATTTGGTAGAATTGTTTGCTTACAGTTTCTGGTTATGAAGGTTTCTTTGCCGTAAAACGATCTAATGTATATTTTCAGCTCTAATTCAAGCCCACCATTTTGGATTCCCATACACATTCTAAATCCAGAGAGACCAACAGAATGTTCTGTTTTCAATGTGAAAGCAGGTAATCCATGGCTAAATCTCAATTGTTTTGGTAATGTGATTACGTTATGCATGTGCAAATCACTGTCCATTGGGCATTTTATAGTCAGGTGAAGGGTGAGATTCAAACTCACTTTTGTTTATATACGAGTTTTTCTACCTCCAATCCTAACTCACTGTAATTTTGAACAGATTCTCCACGCGACTTTGTTCAATTCATTGAATGGTCTCCTCGATCATGCCCTCGTGCATTACTGGTGGCAAATTTTCATGGAAGGATTACTATATGGACACAGCCAACTAAGGTACATCTCTACCTTAAGCAAATTTCGGTATGCATATCATTTTTTTTTGTTAGTAGTACCATTGAACTTACTTTGTTAATTTGCGAAACACTCAGGATTTTCTTTTTTCATTTCAAGTCTATATACATATCATGCTGTTTTGTGTTTTTTCTCTAATACTTGTTTCTTTCTTGATATGGTGAAGGGTCCTACTAATCTTGTACGTGATGCCAGTTCCTGGCAATGTGAACACGAATGGCGTCAAGATCTTTCGGTGGTGACTAAGTGGTTGTCAGGAATTTCTCCGGTTTGTTGCCAATTTGCAAACTTACAGTCTGCTTCTCTTGTTTTTGATAATTAGCACTTTACACTTGGAATGCAAATATGCAATACGATTGACCCAGCAGTTTATACAGTCCGCTTCACAATTTAACATTCGAGATTTATATACTTTTCAGTGTCAATTGTTAATCATTATTTTTTTAAAATATAATATTTTATAAAGCAGTGACAATAGACTTGAGTTTAAACTGTTCTAAGATTTTTTCACTGGACATTTATCATAAACAATTGCAACAATTAGGTAAAAAAGATTCTGGCTCAGTTTATGTCTGAGTAAGTACTTTGATCTATTTCAAATGACACTACCTGTGTTTGATTACCCTTTTGGCCTGAAATAAGTGGATCTTAGAATCGAAGGAATATAATTACTAAGCTGTTGCCACGGCTAAATTTGTTTTGTTTCTTTGACTTTGCAGTATAGATGGCTTCCTGCAAACTCTAGTACTTCATCAAACTTGAAAACCTTTGAGGAAAAGTTCCTTACCCAGCAGCCTCAAAGTTCGGGTTGGTTAAACACATATATTACTGAGCATATATTTTTTTTGGAGGAGAAAGCAAGCATGCTTCTTTACGCTACTCTGACATATTGCTGTTTACTGCAGCTGGGTGGCCAAACATTCTATGTGTCTGTTCAGTTTTTTCATCGGGTTCTGTTCAGCTTCATTGGTCACAATGGCCTTCTCAAAACTCAGCACAACCTAGATGGTTTTCTACTAGCAAAGGGCTTTTAGGAGCAGGGCCAAGCGGCATAATGGCTGCTGATGCTATTATTACTGAAACTGGAGCATTACATGTTGCTGGTGTTCCCCTTGTTAATCCATCTACTGTAGTGGTTTGGGAGGTGATGCCAGGCCTTGGCAATGGTATTCAGGCAACTGCAAAGATAAATGCAACAAGCTCTCTTCCTCCATCACTAAATCCCCCACTCTGGGCTGGTTTTGCTCCACTTGCATCTTACCTCTTCTCTTTGCAAGACTACCTTGTTTCCGAGGGCGCACAGACAAAAAAACAGGCACAGGTAGATAATGAGACCACTGAGGTAGCATCGATCCATTGTTGTCCAGTTTCCAACTTTTCAGCTTACGTCAGTCCTGAAGCTGCTGCCCAGTCAGCCACTACCACAACATGGGGATCTGGGGTTACCTCAGTTGCTTTTGATCCCACTCGAGGGGGATCAGTTATTACAGTTGTAATAGTTGAAGGTGCGTATATGACACCTGGGAAATGAATTAGTATGATGCAATTGTCACATCTCACTATGACTATTTGTTTCTGATGAATGGCATGAACATCAATGCCATTCATAATCACCACACTAATCCTATGATCATCCAACAGCTTTAATAGTAGGAGAGTTAATCTAACTATGTATGTCCAGAGCATGCTTATACATGTTTTAGCTCCCTTTAGTTGCTTTTGTTGTTTCTTTGATTTGCTCTGGTAGCTTGTGCCATGGTAATAAAAGTTCTTGTCTGTAAATGCTATATGCATATTCTTTTAAGGACTTTTGGGGTCTCTGAAATTTATTAAGTGAATCGGTTGATCTTAGGCTCTTGGCTAATGCTTATTTATTTTTTCTGACAATTGTTAAACCACATACTTCCAGGGCAGTACATGTCTCCTTATGATCCTGATGAAGGACCTTCCATCACTGGATGGAGAGTCCAGTGCTGGGAATCTTCAGTCCAACCTGTTGTTCTTCATCCAATATTTGGAAGCCCTGCAAACTTTGGTGGACAGCCACCTACACAGACTGTTTGGTCCACAAGAGTTAACAAAAGCATCCCACCATCTGAGGACCTTAAGAACCCTCAATCATATGTTCCAATGCCAACAACTTCAGATGAGCGGAGTTCTTCTGAGTGCAGTGTTGACAGGGCGAACCGACTTAGCTTTGACCCTTATGATCTTCCAAATGATGTCAGACAATTGGCCCAAATAGTTTATTCTGCTCATGGTGGTGAGGTTGCAGTTGCATTCCTGCGTGGAGGTGTGCACATTTTTTCAGGTCCAAACTTTGAACAGGTTGATAGCTATCATGTCAATGTTGGCTCAGCAATTGCTCCACCAGCCTTCTCCTCCAGTGGTTGTTGCTTGGCATCAGTATGGCATGACACACTCAAAGATCGAACCATACTAAAGATAATACGTGTGCTTCCTCCTGCAATTCTTAATGCTCAGACAAAGGTTAGCTCAGCTGTTTGGGAACGAGCAATAGCAGATAGGTATCCACCCAAGTTAACAGAGGTTGATTGAAATGATTTATTTGTTGAAAATGTTTTTTTTTATAACTGCGATCTTTTTAGCAGATTTTGGTGGAGTCTATTGGCTGGTGTGGATTGGTGGGATGCTGTTGGCTGCACACAAAGTGCTGCTGAAGATGGTATTGGTAAGGATGCTTATGCAGATGCAATTTAAAATTTGTGTATAGTATTTGCATTTCAATTGTGTTCTAGCTGTCCACACAATTAGAAAAGTAGGGATTATCTGCTACACGGTAGAATTTCCACAACTGTCACTCAACCTCTTAAAGTATATACTTCCTCCGTTTCATAATGTAAGTCATTCTAGCTTTTTCCACATTCATATTGATGTTAATGAATCTAGATAGATATATATGTCTAGATTCATTAACATCAATATGAATGTGGAAAATGTTAGAATGACTTACATTGTGAAACGGAGGGAGTAATTAAGAACAGTGTAACCAAGCAAATCTCTGTTTGGTTGTTTATAATGTTAAGACTTTAGAGCTGATTGCACATTTATGCTCCCAATTTGAAAGCATTGTGCATCTGCAGTATGATGAATTGTGTTTTGCTTCATTTTTCCCATTTGGATGTCTCAATATGTTAACATTATTTCCTGGTGTGAGTTGCAATACATCTTTTTAAGCTGATACAGAACTTTTCAGTAAGTTTCATCATTTTCTACATATGGTTGGTTAACTATTTCAGCACCTGTAACATTTATATTTGTCCATGATAAACTAAATCTCTTGCTTTTCCTTCCAGTCTCACTGAACAGTGTGATAGCTTTGCTGGACGCGGACTTCCATTGTCTTCCAACTATACAACAGAGGCAACAACACTGTCCTGTAAGTGTGCTGTGCTTTTAGTACATTATGTGCAGTTTTAAGCACAGGCCTTCAATTTTTCATCATCTACTGCCTACTGCCATTACTATGTGACATGCATGTCACAATATCTTTTTGGGTTCTTAAAGATTGTACATTCACCAATCACCAGTCTTTATTCCACCAGTAGTTGAAAGGGGGATACGAATCAAAATATAATCAAGATGACTTTTTTCCTTTTCTTTCCTGGACATAGTTTTTTAGTATTCTTGTGACAAGTCACTAGCACTGCTTTGCAGTTCTGAATGAACATTTTAGCATGAAGCTTGCCAAACTTTTCTATGAACATAAATTATATCTCTGGATGTATTGGTCAGAGACCATTTACGGTAGTATGTAGTTTGCTACTTTATTCATAATGCAATATATTGTAATTTGTGAGTTGGACAAGATTTGTTTTTCTAATTGTGTGTTTACCTTTTACTTCAGATTTTGAGGACTTGAAGTTGCAAGGCTATTGCTTTCTTCTGTTACTGATTAGTCTATTTTACTTATTGCAGAATCTTGATAGGATAAAGTGTAGATTGTTGGAAGGAACAAATGCTCAAGATGTCAGAGCACTTGTGTTGGACATGCAAGCAAGATTGCTTCTGGATATGCTTGGCAAGGGAATTGAGTCTGCCCTGATAAATCCATCAACTCTGCTACCTGAACCGTGGCAAGCTTCCAGTGACATGTTATCTAGCATTGGGCCTGACAAAATGACTGTTGACCCAGCTCTACTTTTAAGCATCCAGGTATACTGTGTTTCATGTTCTTTTGATTTCCTGGTCCACAGTTTCAGTTCAATTTGCTAATCTCGTTTTCCTTTTTTTGGCTATAGACTTAATATGGGCAAATGATGTTGCAAACCTTTTTGAATGATAAGCTATTTGTAAACCACAACCTATTCATGCATGAGGATGAGGCATGATATGCCACAGATTAACCATGCCATGTATGGAATTTACAGTATTTACAGCAGTATTTTGCTGTTTTTATGTTCCAAACCGACTACGATTCAAACAGCCTCCAGATAGCTTTCATCATAAGCTTTGCTCCTAGGTGTGCAGGAATTATGCTCAGCCCATCAACTGCCTCCAATGCCTTAGCAATTTGTGCACACATTTCAGCATAAGCGGTCTGCATATGAACTTTCATGTTACTATTTTGTGGATTTAATTTTTTTTTGAACATGGACTGCAGGGGTACGTTGATGCTGTTCTAGATTTAGCGTCACATTTTATCACACGCTTGCGACGCTATGCGAGCTTCTGCCGAACTTTGGCTAGCCATGCAGTTGGAGCATCTTCTGGTTCAGGCAATTCTAGGAATATGGTTACAAGTCCAACCAACAGTTCTCCTTCACCTTCAACTAACCAAGGTTAATTTTGATTCCGTCTATCTTGCTAAAGCTTGTGCTTTTTTTTTTGGTGCTAAATAAAACCACCTATGAATTATTTGTTTCTTTATTTAATTTTTTGGAAAATGACAAGTTGCTGGCACATTTCAAACTTAGCAATGATGCTAATGTTTCAGGTAATCAAGGTGGAGTAGCGTCTACAACAGGGAGCTCACAAATGCAAGAGTGGGTCCAAGGTGCCATTGCTAAGATTAGTAACAATACTGATGGTGCTGCAAATGCTGCACCAAATCCAATTAGCGGGAGGTCATCATTCATGCCTATTAGCATAAATACGGGAACATTCCCTGGCACACCAGCTGTTAGACTTATTGGGGACTGCCATTTCCTTCATAGATTATGTCAGCTGTTGCTATTTTGTTTGCTTTTTCGGAGAAGGCAATCTCCAAGGATACCTGCAAATGCACAAAAAAGTTCTGATTCTAGCATGCAGAAACAACACTTGATGAACAGTAAGACAGAGGATAATACTTTGGCAGTCAGATCTGGTCTAGGTGCTGCCAAATTGGAAGATGGCACAACTTCACGTGGACAGATGGTTGGAGCAAAGGGTGCTGAAGAAAATCCAGTGGGCAACAAATCTGCTAGGATAGGTTCTGGCAATGCTGGCCAAGGTTATACTTCAGACGAGGTAACAAACAAATAACCCATAAATATGGATTTTCTCAGCCTGAATTGTTCAATAAGAAAACTTTTTTCAATCTGAAAATAGTGATAGTTATACATATAACAGTATTTTTGTATGTGCGCTTCGACATCAATATCTAGCCTGTATTGTTTCTGAATCAACATTTAGATTAGAGCTGTTATATAGTGTGGTTATATGTCTGCATATCATATATCATGTGTGTGTCTAAATTGTTTGCAAGTGCCATATGATTAAGGGTAATTAGACATGATTGGATAATTTACCTAGTATAATCTTTGATCGGTGATTTGCCCGACATGTTTCTCCCGATTTTATTAGTTGCCTTTCTGAAAGTATTATTTGTGTAGCACTGTAATACATCTAGTTTCTGAATTATTTGTTTCATGCTTGCAGGTGAAAGTCCTTTTTCTCATATTAGTTGACCTATGTAAACGGACTGCAACCTTGCAACATCCGTTGCCTTCTTCTCAGGTTGGTTCGAGCAATATTATTATAAGGCTGCATTACATCGATGGCAATTACACTGTGCTCCCTGAGGTAGTGGAAGCATCTCTTGGCCCTCATATGCAGGTACAATACAGATTTATTGTGGAAGTTTATTTCTGTATTCTCTGTGTACTCATTAGAGCATTCAATGTTCTCTTCTCAGCAATACATTATAGTAATTCTCAATTGTGTTGGAGAAATAGAGATATAGTATTTTGCAAGTTCTACTCTACTTACCTGGGTTAACGATGGATTGATCCAGCAAAAGAATATTGTTGTCCAAGTTAATTATGGAAATTTTCATTTATACAAGCACACGTGCATAATTGGTTTTTATGATTTCTTTTGTTCATACGTTCTCCATCTGCCTATATAATTTATTACTCATGGCCTCAGCGCCCTCTTGTCACCATTTAGGAGTTCTCATTTTCATCAGCATGTACATCTTTGGTAAGAGTAGTGAGCATGTACATGTCCAACAAGAGCTGTGTACACGCATTTCTGTCGAGAATTTATACCAATGTTGCCCATTTGTTCCAATATTTATTGCAGAATATGCCTCGTCCACGTGGAGCTGATGCTGCTGGCCTTCTACTTCGAGAATTAGAACTGCAGCCCCCTGCTGAAGAATGGCATAGACGCAACATGTTTGGTGGGCCATGGTCAGAACCAGATGATCTTGGTCCATTGGATAATACGCGACAGCTAAAAATCAATGGCTCTACCAATCGCCACTTATCGGACATGGAAGAGGATGGCGACAGCTCCTTTGGGATTCAAAATCTTTGGCCAAGAAAGCGCCGGTTGTCTGAAAGAGATGCAGCATTTGGTCTGAAAACATCCGTGGGGCTGGGATCTTTTCTAGGTGTGATGGGTTCTCGGAGAGATGTTATTACAGCTGTGTGGAAAACAGGCCTCGAAGGTGAATGGTACAAGGTAAGCATACTTGATAGTAGTAGTCTCTAACTTCAGTATTCTTTCAGAATTAATTATCGACGCACTCTATCCAATTCACCATTTGCCGTGACACCGAGACATGCTATCTTTTGCAGTGCATACGATGTTTGAGGCAAACCTGTGCATTTGCTCAGCCTGGTGCTCTAGCTCCGAACACGTCGAATGAGCTTGAGGCATGGTGGATCAGCCGATGGACCCATGCTTGCCCAATGTGCGGTGGGACATGGGTGAAAGTCGTTTGAATTTGACGCCTCCGGGCGACACCTTCACCGTACTAACCACTCTGCCAATAGCTTTCTCGGCCAAATCTGTGTAGGCGCCATCGGTTTTTGGACAATTTTGTATCTAACTTTAGATTGTTTGGTCTCAGGCCCTCCCTGGTATGGTATCATAGTTTACCTGCAGCAGTCAGAGCAGATTGCACCAGCAGCTGTGTAAAACGGTAGGAAAAAACAGGATTAGGACATGCCCAAACACTGTCAGAGTCAGCAGTTGTGTTGTGCGATCCTTTTGTACATAAATGTAGTGTACTAATTTGCAACATTGGAAAAGAAACTCCGTTAGATACTGCTTGATGTCAATAATATTTGCTGGTGATTGAAAAGACCATGTATGTAATAGCATGTTCAATTGGGTGTTTCTCTCATAAGCTATGCTATGTTCAACTTGTGGCTTTAGATCATCGTTCAACGTGGTCGACAAAATAAAGACGAAATTTGAATTTCTGTTCGAATCTTTTCGAAGGGTAGAAAGTATTCAAACTGCGCTTGGTTCTGATATTTACAGAGCTACCTGTAATACTGTCATCCTAGAACACTTGCAAAAATTTACAAGTGCTTAAAAATATTATCGAGTGTACAGAATTTGCTTAAACTTAACAAAATATATTCTCGAAATATACACACTACAAAATTTGCTAAAAATTGGGAAGTATCAGCGGTGTGGTGGTCTAATATTTAAATCTTATACCCACGAATATTATGTACGCGTAATTTGGTTTTCAATATAAATATCGTGAAAATAGGATTTGCCGCTAGTTTCTAATTGTGTTAGAGAAGCATTTGCGAGTGTGCAAGTGTGGTGTTGTATGCGTAGTGCTGTGCGTTCGTGCATATGGTTCAGTCGTGTAATAAAGAAATGCTAAGGGTGTGTTGGATGCTAGTGACCTAGAACTTGTCCCTTTCACGCAAAACAGAGCAACAAATTAGCGCATAGCTAATAAATATATTAGTAAATAATTTAAAGAAATAAATTGATATGATTATTTAAATCAACTTTCCTACTTTTTAATAAAAGACAGACTATTTAGTACTTGTCGACGTTTGATGTCGCGATTCCGGTATTTGCATAGTATGGAGATCGTTGGTACTAGGATATACGCGAGACCGAGGTAAAAGAGACGAAGACAGAGATTTTTATACAGGTTCGGGCCCCTGAATTGTCAGGTAATAACCCTACATCCTGTTGGCCGAAGCGGTCGTTGCTCTTATTCACCATAATCACACCAGTATAATATTTGGAGTAGCATATCTAATTGTTGTCGACATGGCGGTCTGAAGATCTGACTCATAGTCGACGACAGGGTAGTCTTCCTCCTCGAATCCATGCCCGGCGAGATCAGAAACAGCGCTAGATCCCTACGGCCGGCCTCTGTAGGTATCGGATAGGGTCGATCCAGAGGACGCCGAGGTCGTCGGTAAGGACGTGGGAGGAGCCGAGGAATAGAGAGAGAGGGATAGAGAGAAGGGAGGAAGGAGGGAGGATTATGACGTGGCGACCCTGACATGTGGGGTCCACGTGGGTTCCACGCTGATTCAACCGCCACATAGGATAAAACCGGAGTTAAAACCGTCGAGGGACCTAATTTGCACTGGTTTTGTAAATTGGGGGATGCATTGTATCCGGTTTTGCGGTTCAAGGATGATTTTGTAATTCGACGACAAGTTGAGGGACCTTCGGTGTACCTTTTCCTTTGTTTTTAGCCATAACCCAGTTCAATACCTCCCCACGCTCGGCCTATATCTCTTTGGCCCAACACACAAACAGGCCCAAGCCACAAGCATAAGTGGAGTCATAGGCCCAACTTACATAGCCTACTGCGATCTTCAACCTTCGGAAGATATCCTATGCATGCATGATGCCGGAGCCGGTCCTCGTCATCAAATCCAACCAATCTTTCTTGATTTGGTTGAGGGCTTTTGATCCACTCGATCTCTTCTCCCCGTTTCCCCAATATCAGAGAGAATTCACAAAAAAACGGGACAAAAAGGCAAAGCTCGGTCAGCCATCTTCGATGGAGATTAAATCCAACAAATTAAAACCAAATTGAAAGAGAAAATTATGGAGAAAATAATGAGTTAGAAGTAGGGAATCGATTTTTGCAATAAATAATAGGAGGAAACGTACAGGGAGGCAGATCGCGGCGGTGCTAGGGTTTGGCCCGGGCCCTAAGAGCGGTAAAAAAAGGAGATTGGATCGGACTGAGTGGAAAAATACGGTGATAAAAAAACCAGATGATGAAAAAAAAAGAAGCCTAATCGGACATAAAAAACTGGCGAGAAAAATAGACGGACAAAAAAAACATATTCAATTAAAACCGATTCCTCAATTAAAACTGAAAACCGATTTAAACACGGATGACTTACTAAAATCTCAGCAAAAATATCTTCAATTTTTACAATAGTAGAGATTTAGACAAAGAACAATAATATCATATTGCATGAAAATAATAATTCATGACCGTCAAAAATTATATATAATCACTTCAATATACAATATCTCAATATAATATACAAGATATGAGGGCAATATATGTCTGCAAAAAAAACAATGATCCAAAGTTATTTGATTAACTTGTTGGGGGTATAAAGGCGGGAAACGTGCGTGTGGAAAATGAGGGAGAGAGAAGTTGGGAATAAGTAGTATAGGACGCCCTAATAATGTTACCTCGCCAAGCTTTTTTTTTTCCCCATTTTGTTTAAAAAACAACAAACTAGTCTCGAATACATGTCATAGATACATATGAACCCACATGCAGTGGCGAACCCAGAACAAAAATTACCGGGGATGCTTGATATGTTTATAGGTTTATTTTTGAGTAATATAATGCTTAATATGACCTAAAACACGTCCGTGGACACCGGGTAGATACACATAGGTACGCCCCTGCCCACATGTTATAGACAACGATTGATAAATCATTAGTTAACTTATCTTAAAAGTGACAAACAATTAAATGTCCCAAATACATATACAAAAATTGCTCAAACTTAACCGGCAAACTGAACTACAACTAGTCTCGATTAAATGTCCCAAATACATATACAAAAATTGCTCAAACTTAACCGGCAAACTGAACTACAACTAGTCTCGACTCGACTGCCCGCGAGAGCGAGCCCCCCAGATCTCCCTCGTTCTCCGGCGATGGCGTCGCCCTACACCGGCGCGCAGCCGCCGTATCCGGCGGGGGCGCACCAGCCGCCGCCGCCGGCGCAGGCGCTGCTGCAGCAGAACCACTCGCTGGCGTTCCGCGTGATGCGGCTGTCCCGCCCCTCGCTGCAGCCCGACCAGGCCGCCGCGCTCCGCTTCGACCCGCGCGACGTCTTCCTCCCCGAGGACGCCCTCACGGGGCCCGACCCCTCCGCCTCCTCCGCCGCCGACGCCGCCGCCTTCCTCCAGGGCCTCCTCCACCCGCTCGACTCGCCGGCCACCACCGTCCCCGGCGACTTCACCTTCCGCGACCGCTTCCTCCTCCGCGACCCCGTCGACGCCCTCGCGCTCCCCGGCCTCCTCGTCCTCCCGCAATCCTTCGGGTTCGTCTCTCTCTCTCTCTCGCTTCCATTCCAGTAGTAGATTGCAGCGAATGATTGTGTTGATGTGATCGTGCGGGGACGCATCGATAGGGCGATCTATTTGGGGGAGACCTTCTGCAGCTACATCAGCATCAACAATAGCTCCAGCTTCGAGGCCAGGGACGTCGCCATTAAGGTTCTCGAACCATCGCATGATTACCATCCTCTTCTATTATATCGCATTAGTTGGAAAACATTATTTGAAATTCTGGATCGTTTACCATAAAATATTATTCTGGATGTTTTCTGGAGAACGGTATTATTGCACCCAGTTTGTCATTGATGCTGTTGTTTCAGTGCATCTGGTTAGAGTGTGCTAGGTTGATGTTTTTCTCTTCTTCTTTTTTTCAGTGTTAGAATCTCACATCACCAAGTTCTTATTGTTGCAGTCATGAACTGATGTTAAATTCGATTACTCGATTGACTCTCTGCTGTGGAATTACTGGAATAGTTGCTTGTTCATCTTTTTTTACATTTGTTGACCAATGTGGTGTGTTCAGTGATTAGACCAATTCTATTAGAGCCTCATTAAGAAAAAAATGTAACAAGGTGTTATTAAGGCATGCAAGAAATTATGAGGTATTATAAGCTAATAAGTAGCTTTGATGCAAATAATTATAATTGACCTTGACTTTATCTGTAGTTCTTATTGGCTAGTTCTGTCGATGGGTTGCATGTTGCTCTATGACAAATTTGATACTTTAGACACCCCTTTGGTGGCATGCATGCAGGACTTAGCTGTCCTTGAAGCCTTCATTTCTTCATATTATGTCATAAGTTTTAACCGGAAGTTTATTTACATTAGGCAGAAATACAAACCGAGAGACAGAGGATACTTCTTTTGGATACATCTAAGGCCCCTGTTGAGTCAATCAGATCTGGGGGTAGATATGATTTCATTGTGGAACATGATGTCAAAGAACTGGGAGCACATACGTACACTATCCTCTTTTTTATTTTATTTACAAATTGGTTGCATTAGACATTAGTGAAGCACACCTTATTGTTGATTTGCTCATGTGGTGATTGAATCCAGGCTTGTCTGCACTGCTTTATATAATGATGGTGATGGGGAGCGTAAATATCTTCCTCAATTCTTTAAGTTCACTGTTTCAAATCCATTGTCTGTTAGAACGAAGGTACTTATTTCTCTCATTTTTTATATGGCTAATCTATACTCCATATGTATAATCTCTATGTCCCTCTATCTTAGAATGTAATCCCAGCATATTCGGATTACAGAGTAGGTCACATAAATAATCTGTGTTCACCTTTTGTTTCAGGTTCGCACCATCAAGGTATGTACCCTCTTGTTTCACAAATGCAAACAATATTGTAAGTCTTGTAACTAAATGTTGGTTTCTTTTGTGGAAACCTTTAAAACTTTACGCTGTCACATTTGCATTTTTTTTAGAATATGTTCTGTCATCGCAGCAGTTACCAGTTAGCCATTTCTTTCTTTACTTGCCATTCTATCTGTGCAGAATCATCCTTTTGGTTCCATAAGAAGTTTATCAGCGTCTTGAATTCCCCAAAAATAAAATTTGGGGAACCTCATTATACTTTATCCTTGGTTTATTCCAAACTGGTTGAACAAACTTCTATGTAAATGTGGTTGGCCTTGTTTCCTTCGATATTATAGTATATATTCTACTGTACTACTGTTTGTTATAATGTTATTTATCCCTTTACTGTGCATTTATTTATTCATCATGGCAGTCTTGAACTCTATATAGCTAGTCCACTTTGACAGGATACCACTTATCTGGAAGCCTGCATAGAGAATCATACAAAATCTAATCTTTATATGGACCAAGTTGATTTTGAACCTTCCCAACAATGGGCAGCTACAAGATTAGAAGCCGATGAACATCCGTCAACAGTGAAGTCTATAATCGGGTAAGTTGAGCTCTGATAACAAACCCTATTTGGAGAATGGAACATAGTGTCTCGATGCAAGGATGTTGATATATCATGTCGATGCAAAAGGATTGCTAATGTGAGTTCTATTTTTCATATAGGGACTTGTGCAAGCAACCGATTCTCATCAGAGCTGGAGGAGGAATATACAATTACCTATATCAACTCAGACCATCGTCTGGTGAGTCTGGTCAAACAAAGGCAGAGGGAAGCAGCATACTCGGGAAATTTCAGATCACATGGCGGACAAATCTCGGGGAGCCTGGCCGTTTGCAAACTCAAAACATACATAGCACTGTCAGTAAAGTTCCTGACTTATGGTTTGAACTATTTTATATGAAGTGTCGAGGGCTATACCTGTTAAGTTACTCTATATATAAGTGTTAGCTATAACTTTGGCAACTCTTTCTTTTGAGCAGCCCACTGCAAGCAAAGATGTTGATCTTCGTGCTGTGAAAGTTCCACCTGTGATATTTCTGGAAAGACCATTTATGGTAGGTGATTCGTTGGTGAACATCTGGCTCGGATATTTAGCAAGAAATTTGTTCATGTTCTTTTTCCACAATATTTTGATGTTTATGCTTCTGTATTGTTTAACTTGTAAGATAAAATATGTTCCTGCTTTGGTATCTATCTGATATTTCCCTTCAATAGTTTAGCTAAGGGAATCTCTTTATTAGTATCTTTGGACAAAAATGGGTCAGTCTTGCAGACTTTTTTGTCAGGTCCTATGGATCCCTTGTATAGTCTCTGAATATTTCAAAAAAGAAAAATGCATTAAAGCATTACACTAGGGTTATGCCCTATTGTTCCCATAAAAAACGAGGTTCTGGCTGTTCAAAACTGTTATGCTCCAGGCTCTCTAGAATTTCCTCCCCATATCACTCACCCCTTTCAATTTGTTAACATGTTATGTGTTTAACTTTCCACGAAGCATGTTGTGCACCAAGCTTTCAAAAGTTCCCTTCCTATATCATTCTACCCCTTTCAATTCATTACCACAGGAGACATGCAGTACTGAGTAAATTTGCAGGAATCATGGTAATACATCTCGCATGCTTTATTAGTGTCTTTTCTTCATACAGTTTCATGACTTGTTGTCAATCGCTATGCACTAATGCTTTTCGTTGAACCATGCACTTAGTGCATTACTGCATTGCAAATATTAACAACAGCTGCTCTTCACATTACTATCGATATTTGATTAGATTTATATCCTCAGGTTAATTTATGCCTTACAAACCAATCAGACAAGACAGTTGGCCCTTTTGAAGTATTTTTAGCACCAAGCGTACTTGATGAAGAGAAATATGTTCTGGTCAATGGATTACAGAAGTTGGTTAGTTGTTTCACTTGCTATTTTATGTTTGCTGTTATACAAATGCTATACTAGTCTGGGGTGTTCTGACAGTTGCTTAGACAGGTGTCCTGTGAAATTTGTCCCTGGTGTTCCATAACATATTTGCATAGTTAATTGCTCTGTTTCTATGGTATGCTAATGTGGCATGTAGAAGCGTGTCAGGCTATAGGTTTCTTTGTTTGAGAAAACAGGAAGTTAGGATTTTTCATTGGGTACTTGATTTCAGGCTAATGTTACAACTTTCCAGCAATCTGGCCAATGGAAATTAGATTGTGAGTTAACAATGAGTTTGTGCGCTGCTTATTAATCGCTTTGGTGACATCTAGTTTTTTTTTTTTCTTAAGAGATAGTCAAACGTCCAGGAAAATCTTTATGTTGGAGTACACTACTCAGCTGGTCTCAACTAATCTCTTTGTGGTGCCTTTTATTCCCTCCTCTGTAACAGTGGGTGAAATTAATGATGTGTTGGGTATGCTTTTGATATTTTGCTTTCATTATCTGCGCAGGTTTTGCCACTAGTTGAGGCTTTTGAATCCATCAACTTTGACTTGGTAAGATAACTTTCTGGGTACATCACTTTAGATATATCGGATATCCCATATATCTGCTCTTAGCTTTGTATTTGTCGAACTGTGTTGTGGATTTTTTTGCCACTCTAAAAGTGTGATGCATTTTTACTACTAAAAAGGTACTCCCTCGTCCCAAAATATAAGGGATTTTGGCCGGATGTGACATATCCTAGTATGTTCAGATTCATAGTATTAGGATGCGTCACATCCGGCCAAAATCATTTATATTTTGGGACGGAGGGAATGGTATTAGGATGTGTCACATCTTTTTGCTTGGTTTTTTATCTGACCAGTGACGCTATTGATGAATCATAACAACAATACTGCCTTGTGAATTTTCCTCAACGATACTGATTTTCCTCATTCGTGCTATTATATGAATGTTAACCAACAGTTGAAACAATTTAGTCTTGTGTTTGACCATCAAAGCCAGTGGCAAATTCATTGTCTTATGAATCAGAAAGAAATGTATTTGACTATATCTGGAATGAATCTGTGCAGAGTATGGTAGCTACTCAAGTAGGCGTGCAAAAAATTTCTGGAATTACACTGTATGCCGTGCAGGAAAAGAAGCTTTACGAACCTTTGTCAGACATAGAGGTAAAGATAAGCAAATTCGGTACTATCAATTACTCTTTCTTGTAGTGTTCTGCATGTTTGTTTGCTAAAGCTACATTCTCGTGATAGCATTATAGTTCTTTAAAGTTCTCATGATAAATTTGTTGAACATAAGTGCTCGAGCATGTGAAGCTTTTCGGCATGTTCTCTTTTCATTCCTTTCCTGAAGCTGCATTGGTATCTTATGCACGGCTGGGTTACTTGTTTTTTTTCCTGCAGATTTTCGTTGATGCAGAATAGAACAACGCTGCATTGGAAAACAGACACAGATGTTCCCCCATGTTTTCATCATCTGAGAAAGGGATATACATATCGTCAAGCGTATTCTAGTTGATGTATTTTTTGTTTATTGTACAATTGATTATATCCGATTGTAACGAGACACATTTTTACCAAAAAGGGAAATAGATTGAATGTTCTTCCAAGGAATGCAGATGCGGGCATTGTGAAGTTCCAAACAAGATAAGCAAATTGTCTTGTGTCATTTGTATGGTTTGTCCCAGTTAATTATGTCCTAAATTATATGATCTCCCTCTAAATCCTTCCTTGCAGACAATCATCAATCTCTTTAGATTGGCGTGTCTTTGATTCAATTTCCCTTCCAGGAATTGAGAACCTTCCGGCAAGTACTTTGCCAACTCCTTCAGAAATCTCAAAACAAATTCCCAACTCTTTCCATGCAAATAGTTTTTGATAAGTCAAAACTATTTGCATAATATTCCATGCTGGAATATATGATAACCTTCAATATGATAAGTGAGAAAGAAACCACCAATACCACCAAACAGAGCAAACATAACCATAAATCACCGAACTATTTGCATAATAATATTGTCTCAAAAGTGCCACAAATGCTGTGGCACAACCACCATCCGAAGGCAAGAAAATAGCACACACATTATACCACCAACAATACAACGCAAAGGAAAACCAACAAACAAATCCAACAAAAGAAAGAAAGAGATATAGAGAGCAATCTAGTACTAATCCAATGTCACAGCTGCAAATTGTGCCCCAATTGCTGTGTTCTTCATTCATTCAGTCATTCATTCAAGTGAAGCTCGTCAGAGGTGATCCGCACAGCTGCACGTCGGAGATGTCGGAGAGCCTCTGCCTCGAGCTGGACGCCATGCCGAACTCCTCCAGCTCCAGGTCGGAGATGCTCTTCCTCTTGTGCGCCTCCTGCTTCGCCGGCCTCTCCTCCGACGCCTCCAGGATTGGGCTCAGCATCGGCTGCTCACTCTGCTGCTGCTGCGATATCATCGCCTGCGCCTCCGCCACCATCGAGGGGTCATCCTCCGCAGCGTAGAGTACCTTATGAATCGCGTTGACAATCTCCAGAAAGAAAAGATAAACAAGTTTCTTGATCAGCATCGCCCTAACTGACAACAAAATAAACATCAAGAACCTAAGAACCAGTGCTACTGTTTATTTTCCGAAAACTGAATGGTTAACTCTAAAAGCAAGTTCACAATCCTTTTAGAGTTTTAGTATTCCGGTTTTAGGATAGTCTTATTGTCACCAAGTAGAACAATAATCAGGCAAACGGTTTTAGGATAGGATAGTCTTATTGTCACCAAGTAGAACAATAATCAGGCAAACGGTTTTAGGATAGTCTTATTGTCACCAAGTAGAACAATAATCAGGCAAAAGTTAAGGCATTCTGCTACGGTTTTACCGGCAAATGCTCGACTTCAGGGCTCTGGCACAAGATCTCCACATCCCTCAGCTTGGAGAAATAGAAATCTCTTTCTTTCTCGAGACTATCGACGAGCAGCTTCAGCTCAGTGATCTGCAAATGATGTCAAGATTGAGTCTCTCACCCTTTAGCAGCATGAGAATAAAAAAGGCCAGCCGATCATGGCATCACACAAAACCTCTCCCACCTGTTCATCATAAGCTGGTCCAGCGGAGTTTGCGGGAGACGGCTTTGCGCTCCGTGACGGAGGGGCGTTCGGCGCATGCCCATTGGCCTTCTTGGCACCATGAGATGATGCCTGTGCTTTGTGGGTGGCGGATGAGGATTTGGCCGGCGCCTGAGAAGGCACTGATGTCCTTCTGTTGGTCTCTTTGCCGCCCTTGCTGCTCTCCCTTCTTTCAGAAGCATTGTAACTGTGAATCAATTCACAAAGAACAGCAATACATAAGGTTTTAGACGAGCAATTAAATGAAATTGTCACAAACAGAATTTTGAACCTGACAAAATCTCACAAATCAAAAATTGGACAGGTTAGAGAATAGTATGTAACAGATTACCTGTTCATGAAGCCTCCATTGACCGAATCACAGTATCGCTTCATCCATTGCATGAATTCCAGATTGTCAAGGGGCCTTCCCTTGGTAAGCTTGTTCACTTCGATGTGCTGCGATAATAAGGAGCAAAGCAAACAAGAAAATTGTAAGAACACAGTCGCAGTACCAGTACTAGCAATGATTAATATAAGCAACAATCCCAGGTTTTTTTTTCTATCATCACCAGATCATGAAACACTACAGATTCACACAACATATAGTATCAATTAGCAACAGCAGGGGATCTAGAATCTGTGGTATTTGTGCAAAACTACTTCCCTTCCCTTCTGAAGTCAATCACGAACTGAACAAACGCGCCCAAATCAGCTACACGATAGGTGTACGGAACCAAGATTTGCTCACGGTGGGGAGAAGAATTAGGGGGGTAGGAATCAGAAACCGGCCGCACCTTGGTGATCTTGAGCTTGTTGAAGACGTCCTGAAGAACTTTGTAGTTCTGGATCATCTCGTACTCCGTCTTGGCGTCGAAGTTGACCTTGTGCATCGGCACCGCCCCCGGGTGCGCCGCGTCCATCAGCTGGCACGCCACCGCCCCCGACGCAGCCTACACGAAACCCACACCCAAATCAAATCGCCACATCAAGAACCGAGAAAAAAAAAATCCACGCCCCGCGCATCAAGAAATCCAACAAACAACCAACCGAATCAAAACCCAAGGGGGAGGAAGAGCGCGATTTACCTCCTCGACCTTGGAGAGGCCGAGCTGCAGGGTGGTGTTGATCCACGCCAGGATCTCGTTCCGCCCCACGAAGTAGGCCCCGTCCATCATCCCGATGTTGCTCGCCGCCATCTCCTCCGCCGCCGCGAACCAGATCACCACCACCACGGGGATCGAAGAGATCGAAGAAGAGAGAAGCCTCGAAGATCTCGCGAGGAGGAGGAGGAGATCGGCGACGAGGTTTTCGAATGCGGCGGCGGTGGTGGTGGGGGAGGAGGAGGAGGAGCGGGATTAAAAGGGAGGCGGCTTTTCCATGGACGATTCTGCCCTCGTGTTCATGGTTTCAACGGCTGGATCGTGGGGTGGGGTGGTGGATGGACGGGTGGATCTGGTCGACCGTTGGGACGGGGCGGGGGTGATGTGGTAATTTCGCGAGGACGGGGGGAATTTGAATTTTTGGGAGGTTTTGCGTTTCGTGGGTGTGTACAGGGTACAGCCGTCAAGGAGTTGGGCATGTGGTTTTTGTTAGCTGGAATAATAACTGATGAATGGACCCAATGCAGATAGTGCAAATGCGTTCGGTTTTCACCTTTTTTTTTTGCCCGTTGCTTTTGATGTCTTCTCAAGCTGTTGTAATTTTGATGAAGAAAAATGTAATTATTTTTTTACATGGATATTTGTTTAACTCACTCACAATTTAAATACTCGCTCCGTTCACAAATAGGAGTAACTACTACTGTATTTGATTTTGACATTTGAGGTCTAGTACTATTTTGACAAAAATTATTTTTATAAAAAATAACATAATTATTTAGCTTCAAAGTCGTATCAGTAGATTTGTAATGAGAAGTATTTTACTAACATCTTACATTCAAATATATTCGTGTTGATATTGGTTGAAAATTAATGCTCAAAGTTGATAAGTATTTGTCAACCGCGGAAGTAATATTTTAGCAGCTATAAATTGTGTAAATGGATTTCTTGCTATTCTGCAAGCATGTTGGCAGCTCGGATGTGCATTTATAATAAATTGGCTAACTAAGATAACATTTCATACTAATTTGAGAAATAAACTGGAAGAAAAGAGACTGATTTGAGGAAAAGAACGAGAGAGCAATTTGAGAAAAAAAAAAAGAGTTGCATCTTGCGGCACAGATATTCCTATGTTCAATTTTGACCAGAACACCTTAAACTAATTTTTACTAGGTCATATTACCTTTCTTGCAATTTAGACCAACTATCTTTATAGCCCTATAGGCACACTTCCTTCTATGCGGAGCTCACGCTCAAGATTGAGCCTACTTGACTGCTTCAACCGTTGATCGGTATCCATGCTAGATTTCGTGCCTCCACCAAGCTTGTCATGATTCAGCACCTTGTGCTTGAGTTTTGCCTATCAACGTGGTGTCAGAGTTCAAACTTAGATGCGCCGTCATCCCTCTAGGTCGAGCTCTACCGAAATTGGTCACTCACATGTGCTATAGTACACATCTCTCCCCGCACTAAAGTACACATCAGTGGCCCTCTTTTGTGCTTCACTAGAAGAATGTAGTTTTTCTAGTAGGCATGGATAGCAGCGGTTCACTTGTGTAGTTTTAAGGAGGCACGGACAGCGACGCATCTACGGCTCAATAATGTAAAGAAAACCTTAGTCTAAAGTTAAAACAATATCTATATACCCCAGACGAAAATAGAAATTCTAATTTTGTCCTAACCCAATGAAACTCAAAAGAAATGGAGTAAAAAAAAAGATATCTATATACCCCAGACCAAAATGAAAATACTATTTTTAACCAGGCATCCAATGAAACTCAAAAGAAATTGAGTAAATAAAACTAACCCAATCAAACTCAAAAGAAATTGTGTTAAAAAAAAGGAAAAAGTACACCAAAGGTCCCTCAACTTGTCATCGAGTTATAAAATCATCCCTCAACCACAAAACCAGATATAAAACATCTCTCAACTTGTAAAACCGTTCACTTTAGGTCCTCTGGTGGTTTTGTGCCCGGTTTTCTCTGACATGGCAGCTGAGTCACGTGGGACCCACATGTCAGGTGGCCATATCATCACTCTTTCTCTTTCCCCTCTTCCCCTCTTCTGTCCCTTCCTCCTCTCTCTCTCTCTCTCTCCTCCGTCTGGGCAAGCCGATGCGGCGGCGGTGGCGGCGTGGGGCTCCTCCGTCTGGGCGAGCCTACGCGGCGGCGGCGGCGGCGACGGAGCAGGAGGGCCATCCCCCAAGCCGCCGCCACCTCCGCCGCCGATCTGACTTCAAATTTGCCGAGGATGTTCGATCTGATGTTGCGAGCGAACAGAGCCATAGCTGAAATCCGGAAGGCCTTTGGAGTACAAGAGGCCTAGCATTCGAATTGTGTCCATGGATGCATCTGTACATCGTTCAAAAGTAACATTCAGATGTACTGTGTGTGATGATAATAGCAAATAGATCTGGTGTCTTTTCCATCTGTTGATGATCAGATCAAGGTGTTTATGCATTTGGCTCACTGTCGCAGTTGCTTGGAAGTACTGAAGCTGAACAGAAGACACAACTCTTCAAACTGTAATCTTGATGTGTGGTTAGCAACTGATGGGAGTCCACACTATCAGTTTTTCTTGTTTGCGATTTCCTTTTAAACTTTCTCTTCCCACATAGTTAATTAATTAGATGGAATTTCAATAAGCAGCAGCAGCAATGGGGTTCGTAGAGCTTCTTCGCAGTAGCAGTAGCAGCAGCAATGGTTATGGTTGGATTGGAGCGCAGCAACCCAGTACCAGTTCGCCGATTCTTGCTGTTTGCTGGTTGATCGTCGTCGTCGTCGTCGAGGCTAGAGTTCGCCGGCGATTGCTACTGTCGTTTGGTGATGTGCAGGCTAGAGGTGGAGCAGCATATCGCAGCGCCAATCCATCTCGTTGGCTTCGGCGGCGGCCGACGGGGATGAGGCCAGCAGGTTCAGATCGAACGGGCAGCGGCTTCGTCGCCGGCGCCCGAGGCGCCGTCGTTGCAGAGCACGGTGGAAGAGGAGCCGGCGGGGAGAGCAAGAGTCCACCGTCGTCATCCATGGCCGCAAATATGGCGCCCGCACCGTCGGCGGCGGCGGTGGCGTGGGGGGCGGCCCTCCTGCTCCCACGTCGTCGCCGTCGCCAGCCGGCTTGCCCAGACTGAGGAGAAAAATGAGATAGAGAGAGGGAGGGAGAGAAGATGACGTGGTCACCTGACACGTGGGTTCCATCTTGACTCGGTTCCATCTTGACTCAGCTGCCACGTTAGAGAAAACCGGCCACAAAACCACCAATGGTCTGTTTGGCAAGAGAAGGGAAGAGGAATGGGAGTTTTAAGGAGGGAGTTGATGGTGGAATTGGTCATGGGAGTTATATTTGTAGTCCTCATCCCTTGTTTGGTTTCACATCGAATTCCCTCCAAGTCTCACGAATTAACAGGCCTCCCCCAAGTAAGAGATTGGTGGGAATTCGACCTTTTAATTCCCCATCCCAAACCCTCTCGAATTCCCAAGTTTTCCAACCAAATTACAGACTTAAACTCCCATATATCTCATTCCCCATCACCAACTCCCTCTAACTAAACAGGCCGCAAAGGACCTAAAGTGAACAGTTTTACAAAGTTAAAGGATGTGGTATATCTGGTTTCGTGGTTGAGGAATAATTTTGTAACTCGATGACAAGTTGAGGGACCTTTGACCTTTGGTGTACGAATTAACAGGCCTCCCCCAAGTAAGAGATTGGTGGGAATTCGACCTTTTAATTCCCCATCCCAAACCCTCTCGAATTCCCAAGTTTTCCAACCAAACTACAGACTTAAACTCCCATATATCTCATTCCCCATCACCAACTCCCTCTAACTAAACAGGCCGCAAAGGACCTAAAGTGAACAGTTTTACAAAGTTAAAGGATGTGGTATATCTGGTTTCGTGGTCGAGGAATAATTTTGTAACTCGATGACAAGTTGAGGGACCTTTGACCTTTGGTGTACGAATTAACAGGCCTCCCCCAAGTAAGAGATTGGTGGGAATTCGACCTTTTAATTCCCCATCCTAAACCCTCTAGAATTCCCAAGTTTTCCAACCAAACTACAGACTTAAACTCCCATATATCTCATTCCCCATCACCAACTCCCTCTAACTAAACAGGCCGCAAAGGACCTAAAGTGAACAGTTTTACAAAGTTAAAGGATGTGGTATATCTGGTTTCGTGGTCGAGGAATAATTTTGTAACTCGATGACAAGTTGAGGGACCTTTGACCTTTGGTGTACTTTTTTCTAAAAAAAAAGTGAACAGTTTTACAAAGTTAAAGGATGTGGTATATCTGGTTTCGTGGTCGAGGAATAATTTTGTAACTCGATGACAAGTTGAGGGACCTTTGACCTTTGGTGTACTTTTTTCTAAAAAAAAAGGTGGTGGTCTGCCATGGAAGGCACTTGGGCCGGAAGCGGGCCAGGGCTGCAGCGGCCCGTTATCCTTCCACCGTTGGAAGCGGGCGGTACTCGCTGCTCTGTGAAACCAGCCTCACGCAATACCCGCCACTCTAGGTGCAGGGACGCTCGAGCCTTCGCCCAGGCGCCCCACACACGCTACGCAACTTGGAACGGGCGGGCCGCATAGTGCAAACCACAGGCGCAGACCCCAAGCGCAAACGACCAGGCATCCAACACCACCTTATTGCCCCCGCTCGGGTGACAAGCCAACGCTACCTGGCTCGGCGAGTCAGCAGGTGAGGAGTGAGTATTTAAGCTGGTGTGGAGCTGGCTGAATAGCCGAGGTGGTACTAAACAAGAGCTAACGGAGTCATGTTTGTTGGCTGCTGGCTTTTTCTGAGAGAGCACGGGCGGTTTTGCGTTGTTTTGTTGGTCGTGGCTTTTGTGCACTGTGAGTACTGTTGGGCTTTGGCCTTTGGCCTTTGGGCCCCTGTTTCCTTGGAACAGTTTACAATAAAGTTGTATTTGAAGGAAGGAATGAATGCTTTGGTGCAAACACAGGCACAAGCTTTCTCGTTGCTTTTGAGATGTGAACTGAGGTTCCACTGTTATGGTTGCTCGTGTGGTTGGTTTGACGCCATGGTTTCACAATTTTCGCTCGAATTTTGTCGCCCAAATCTTAGAGGTCTCTCAAAGCGCTTGGTTCTTGTAAAGTTTCAGCAACTTTCATGAATTTCACTCGAAATTCGACATCTTACTAGGCTCGCATTATTTTTACCCCAAAACGAAATTGTGAATCCAGCTTGACGGTGACTAATAGACTTCGCTGTCCAGTAACAATCGC